ACTAAACTAAATCGAAACATTTTCAAACATTTAAAACTAAACAAAAGCACTGGCAGTTCCCTTAAAACACAAAATAAAAATGAAATAAAAATGAAATCTAATTAATAGAAAATGCAAAACTAATAGCTTTGGTCCTCATCAGTCAAAGATGTTTTTGTGTGGTCCCACATAGCAGATATGTACCTAAATAAGTGGGTCTTTGCAAGCTTAAAGAAGTCCAGTTACCTTGTCGAATTTATTTGTTGTCTTCTTAGGCTTACTGAAGGCCAATTCATTTTGAGTTTATTTTATTTAAATAGCACCAATTCAACAACAGTCAGTTCAAGTGCGTTCTAACACAATATTAAACAGAGAGAATCCCAACATTCAGATGATCCCCTATGACCAAGAACTTGGTGACAGTGGGAAACGGGAGCACGGAGAGGTGAGGATAAAAAAACAAAAAGGGACAGAAGACAAAGTTGTAATAGCATGATCTGTCCAGGTGTTTTCCTAAATGCTAATTTCATCTAGTTCTATTTTGAATAAGAACAACAACAACAACATCAAAACAATAACAAAAGAAACAAAACAAAAAACAGTCAAGCCATTAATTCTTCACACAGTATTGTGGTATTTTCTTGCTTCCAAGTGTTTGGGTCACTTCCAGCCCACGCTTAACTTGGTGGAATCCACTTCATGACTTTTTAGACCACGTCTGGCCCATAAACATTTGCCATTGCCATAACTGATGTGTAAGTGCCCAGAACAGGCCCGGACGTCTCTGCTATCTGGCTGCTTGTAAGCAATTACTGAAAATGAAATGCCCTCAATATATATTGCTCCACATAATGAAACATGGAGGTGCAGGGTCATCAGTAAATATTGTCTTGGCTCAGACTTCTAAACCTCATCTTTGCTTTTCAGTGCCTGAGTGATGAGGAAAGGCTCCAGTTAGCTTTCCTTAAATCTATCTAATGACCAACCTGAGGCAGCCAGAGGGCTTTCCCCAAGGGTAAAACTGAAATCTACACAAGAAAAATCCAGACAGCTGACTATTACAGATAACAATGGCAGGTGCATTCAGATGAAATTTCCCGAAGTCCAAAGGACAGGAATCACACATTAATTTGCTTAATGCAAACTTATACTCAGTACTGAAGAGACAGAAATTGAAATCTTTGAGTGTTGCCACAGCAAACCCCCCCCCCCCACCAAACACCCCCCCCCCCCCAAAAAAAAAAAACCCAAAAAAACCAGACTATTTTCTTTTTTGTGTTTCGAATAGGGTTCTGAGGACAAACGCTGGAGATATCCAAGTGCTTGTGATCCAGACCTCCAGCAGATGTCAGCAAATATCTAGTGATGATGAACTGATGATGGTGTTATCAGAGAGCAGGCTACACATTTTAACTTAAAGTTCCTTTAATTTAGTGTTAGACTGTTTATCTATATTCGGTATATGTTTAGAGTAAGTTACATATAGGAAAAGCTACCGAGACAAAATCCATGGTACTGAGAAAAACATCTTCACCACAAAGCATGGCCTGTGATTTTTCGGCTTGACATTCTTAACCTAGTTGTTGCTTTTTTCTGGATTTCATGGTTTCATAACTTCATTGTTCTATAAAAAGGCTTTCACATTCCCCTTGCAACCTCAGTGCTGGAAACAAGAACATAATTACCACAGCAGCTATCGGCACATTAACTGCTGTCAGATCAGCACAATACACCAGAGGCTAACCTGTAGTTGTAACACATCGGCATGCTGCTTCTGTGGGTCCAACAATAGCATCCCCTTCCCTGTGGTAATGCCAGCCAGTCAGTCAGCTTAGCACAGCATTCAGCAAAGCGCTTCAGAGCTAATCAAGCTCAAACCCTCCCACAGAAACAATGCTCCACATCAATTTAACCTAAATTCTAAGGAGGGCAACAAGCTGTGGGCTCAAGCAGCTTTTCTATTTGGGCGTCAGTAAGCAAGAACACTTCAGGCGACCTAAAGAAAGTTCATCTGAGGGAGGGTTTATGCCCAAGGCTACCCCCTGGATGCAAACATTAGCTCCTCCACAGAGCTTTTTTATTTTGAATGAGCATCATGGCCAAATTAAACTGACACAATGGATGGTGTGTGTGTGTGTGTGTGTGTGTGTGTGTGTGTGTGTGTGCCTGCGTAGGCATCCCTTTACTTTGCAACTCTGATGCTTTCTGCCGCTCAGAGGAATATACAGTGTGTCTCGCTGCTTTGAACTTCAACACACACAATGCCAGCAGTTGCCAAGCAATTACAGAAGGCCTGCTTTCTGTGTATGCCTTTGGAAGACCAGACAGTGTTTTCTTTTTCTTTTTTTCCTCTTATGTTCCTTGTTTGGTCACAGAATTACATAATACAATATGAATCAGAAATATAGTTGGTGCTGTAGCTATCTATGTCTGCAAGGTCCAGGTGGTATGGTAAAGACAATCCGTCTCCTGACATTGGTACCCAGCTGGGATGCTGAGGGCCAGATGGTCGCCTCACAACAGGTAATCACAGCCAGCATGCTGATACAATGGCATCCACACAAATAGGTTACCAGACAAATAGGTTACCAGAGGCGTTTCCATGAATGTGAAGGAAAAGTGGCCAACAGGAAATCGTAATATTTGATCAGAAATAAATCCAATGTAGAAAAATTTATGTTGAAAACCTTAGGTGTAATTTGTAGGCTTTTGTGCAACCTGAAACAATGTAATACGTAAAAACTGTGCTGCAAAAGAGCCTGAAAATTCTTCAGCATTGAATAACTGTTTTGCAAAGTGGTGAAGTAGCAATGTCAAAATCTAACTTAAGAAAGGTTTTAGCAATAAATAAGGTGCCTGAAGTAAAGGGAAGGGGCAATTTCCAGAAGCACAGGCATTAAATTGTTAGATCACAATTATTCATTAATGTGTAAATCACTTTAAACCATAAAAAACTATTAAAAAACAAAAAATAAAACAAAAACATATAAAAAAGGCAACATTTAAATTTATGTTTTAAAATCATATCTAAAAGCTTTATAATAAATGACATGGAGAACAAAATGCAATATTTGGATCCAACATATAGTGAGGTGGAAGCAGAAAGTGGAGTAACACAGACATATTTAAATGAATGCGTTAAAATTTATTTGTGTCATTAGTTCAAAGATAATTAATTCAGTTATATTTTGGTTAGACAGCTCCGTCCCATGAGCTCTGCTAGACACACTCCTGCCCAGAGTATTAGATCTGATAGTATTTTTAAAAATCTTCATAGAAAATTACCTTTTTCTGTCAAATCATGGACCAGCAATGAAAAGTAATAAAACAGAGTTTAATTATGGATTTTACCTCAGTTTCTAATCTTGTACAGAACTTCCCGAGCATTCATCATTTAAAGCCATGCATGCGGCAATTTAATGTCAGTGGATGTTTTACATAAGTTTGTGCTTATCAGGTGAATAGCAAGTTCCTCCATGGCAGCAGTTTGCAGAGAAGGTCAGATCCTGGGGCTCACTCCTGTATTAATACACTGCTCCCCTGCAGAGGCAGGCTCCTCTAATACCCCTGCTGGCTGAAGTTTCCACTTGCATGCATTCATTGAATTCATTATTTTGAAAGGTTTCGGGTATTATTTATAGTTTTGGAATAAAATGTTAAAAACTGTATACGTGGCATAATAAGTGGTTGGCGTACTTTCAAAATGAGAAAGCAAAAGTTGGGCGTCACGTAAAGGTTTCCGGCGCGCTGGAGACACAGGTTTAATGTCGTGGCATAAAGTGAATTTCACCATGTTACATAAAGATTGGGCTCCATGCAGATGGTCCTGTTAAGAAAACTATAAAACCAAAAGCATCACCCAGAGTTACAGCATACATCTTTAATGATGCAGGCGAATTCATTATCATTATGTCTAATAATCAGATATATTTGCAATAAGGGTTAATGCATTGCTGTCAGCTTTTAGATACCGTTAGATCTGTCCCTCCAGCGTGATACACACAGCTCTATGCTACACACACATACACACACACTCCCACACCCAGTGTCTCACTTGCTCCCCCCTCCCTCCTCTCTGCCTCTTTCAGTTCAGTGAACTGAGTGAAATGTCTTTCCGACTAAATGATTTTTTTTACACGGTGGGAAAGTTGCCATGGAGACAGCACCCCCCCCCCCCCCCCCACCCAGCCCCTCCTCTCATTTTTTGCTCAAGAGCGTAGCCCATTAAAGCTGTGCTAACTGGTCGATGTCACGTGTGTGTGTGTTTTTTGCACTTCTTGAACTGTTAACACTGTCAGTATGCTGCAGGTGCCCCTTTATGAGTGTGTCTATATACAGAACTAGCCTCCTCCACCTCCTCCTGTGTCCAGTTCCACTCATCCTGCAAGCAGCTATCGCCTCTCTCCTCCAGGTTTTCCCATTTGTGTTCTCCTCCTCCTCCTGTTCTCTTCCTCGCTGGCATTCTGTGGTTCTTCATCCTCCTTCATTTGTTTAATCCCCCCCTAATCCTCCTTCTCTGTCATTCCTCTGCACATCTGAGCTTCCTCTTCCTCCTCACTCTGCTTTCTGCTGAAACACCGGAGGTGCAGCTTGCTGCTGGTGGGCTTTAACGAGGGATAATAACCACATGACAAATGATATGAGTGATTTTTCTAAAAGAAAGGGAGACAAAATAGAAGTAGGAGTGCAGATGTGGGTGCACACACAGGGCAGGCGACGGTGCTCCACGTTGCATTTAGGCAAAATGTGGCCACAATAAAGAATTCATGACAAAGTGGCTGAATAATTACATGCGACGTAATGCACAGCTGAAAGTCCAAAAACTCAAAAAATAAATAAAAAAGTTCAGGGTTCAGGCAGTCTCTATCCAGGTCTTACCTTCTATGCCTGAGGCAAATATACACTGTGGACATGTGAAATGCTCAGAAGTTTGTGAAGTTTGTATATTATATATAGCACGTAGCACACTGCCTGGCATCTGTGACAGCCCAGTGCATCAAGGGAAGTAAGAAACACGAGGCTGGATGATACATATCCTTTATTTCCATGATCATTACTTCAGCCACACTGTTACTTACACATTCACAGACATCCTGCGACCTGGTACAGCTATCTCGACTGAAACGATCGCCCTGGCTTAACCTCTCAATCAAAATACTCAGCATTAACCAATAAAAAAGTAAACCTCTTGAATAAATTATATATAAAAAGAACAAATGAAAATCAAAAGGAATACCAATTCGAGAAAGATAAATACAGCATAAACAATCCTTTTTCTTCAGTGTTGTTTTTGACCACAGAGATAAACATCTGCTAGATCTCCTTTTAGTCGTCATTAGTAGTATTAGTATCAAGTTCTTTGTCAGATTTTGCTTAAAGCATCACTTATATAATTTTCATTGCATCAAGTTGACATCATTCATGTTAATATAAGCATGCAAACATGTTTCCCCATGACCATTCGGAACTGCACAAACGAGAGAAGACAGCGAGGGGGAGAATAAGGAGGAGGACGGAAAGGGTGGGGTGGGGTTGTCATACACAGAGAGAAAGAAAGAGGGCAAGATGGGGGGAGAAAGCTGAAGGAACTGGGGAGGAAAAAGTAGAGCAGGAAAAATGGTTAGGTGATGGAGAGTTGCAGGAGGAAAGGTAAGGATTGCTGGAGGAGAAAATGAGTAATCAGACAGACAGAAACAGAAAGGGAGGGGTTTAGATGGGGTGGGGGTGGGGGGGTGGACAGAGGGAGGAGGAGAATAAGGGAATGTGCTGGCTCCAGTATGAGTTTTGCAGTCTATCACAAGGCAGTAACACTAGGGCTAAATAGGGTAGACACAAGCAGAGAGAGAAGGAGAGAGGCTGGGAAAGGAGGAGAGTTTATGGGGCCTCTAGACCGATGGATCAATACCATATCTACTTATACAAGCTGATCAATAACCCCCCATCTGACAAACAACACAAAATACTTTCAGATGTAATTATAACCTCCTGCTACCTTCACTGATCCAAAGGAAAACTAGATCCCCCCCCCCCCATCCCCAAACTGCACGCACAAAATACACACACGTGTGTAGTTTGTGCACGTGAGGATGAGACTGAAATGGCAACAATACAAGTAGCTGCAGTGAGGTGTTGTACTGTTTTGCTGAGGTTACAGTGTGGTGACAGACATGGCTTTGAAAAGTCTGTATCGGTTTACACAAGTAGTGCAGATATTTCAAGCGCTCGTTTCTCACAACACCTCCTCCCTGATGTCTCGCCTTTATGGGGATCTAAATTTATCTTGATCTGTTTTTTTTTTTCCCTTAAACCTTTTATTTTTTGTTGTCTTCCTTCTCATGAATGTAATCAAAACACACCCAACAATTAAAATGATCAATGCCAGCGCCGTCCTGATTTTCCCTCGGACATACAGTACACAAACTACTGAAAGAAGTACACAATCAACACAGTTACTTACATCAGGCAAAGGGTGAGAGAGGAGAGAAGGGCTGAATGATTGGCAGCTGATTTCAGAGACGACATAGACAATACAAACTAATGTCTATGAAAGACAGTGCTTCCCCACCTAGTGCAATGAGGCACGTATAGTACATACACATTCACTCACTCACACACACACACACACACACACACACACACACACACACACACACACACACACACACACACACACACACACACACAGAAAATAGCTCCTTGTAAAGACACAACACAAAGTTGGCTCCAAGACGCGCTTTTCACAGTCTGTGGATGCCGGGATTCGAGGAGCGAGGGAGGCAAGACAGGAAAAGGACACGGGAGAGGAGGAAAAGGAGGAGGTGAGCACAAAAACGTGTCACACACAAGGTCACAGTGACACGCAGGCATACACACACGCACAGACACGCACGATACAAAACAAACACGCCCACAAACACAGAAACACACACTAATAAAAGCAACACGGACGTGTGTGTCCTCCTAAAGTCTTGTCGGTGACATGATATGGACTAATAATTTTGTCAATTGAAGCTTGAGGAACAAAAACAACAAAAAACACATTGTCCTGGAATGATTGAAAAATAAATTAGAGTGGTGATATCCTTCAGTGTGGGATACATCCTCCAGCTAGTGCACTCCAAACAGATGCTGGTCCAATCCTAAAGCCAGGATTCGTTGAACCCGTTTTGTCCTACATTAGGAAAAGTCTGGCGATTTGGCCTGAAAGCCAGTGTCGATCAAATAGTTCGTGTCTCGCATCATCTCATCCTCAGTGGACCGTAAAAAAAATGGCATGAATAAACTCATTTCCGCATGGTTGCATGTATACTGTTTCACACAAATGACAGAGCAAAATAATTTAAAAAATACTAACGAGCACCATGAGGACTGTGACAAAAAGCATGAGGAAGAGGGACACATTTCAAGGCTATGTAACATGCTTAGACCAATGAGTCTGTCCTCATTTTTCGCTCTTCTGACATCAATAAAGACCACTGGATGCCTCGTCATCTTTCCTCTGGGGAAAATAAGCGAGTTAACTCTGAAACCAGAGGGTAGGAACCCTGGAGAAGGCGTCCAAAATGGCCGAGAGTATCCACGGTGGATATTTCGCCCTGCTAGTACTACATGAGATGTATTCCTATACAGTACGGCATATACTGTACACTAAAAGAAAAATATTGACATAAGGATTTTCTTCTTTTGTAGTCTGTACAAGGGCATGAACCTTTGGTCCTGTTTGAAATGACCATTCTACGATGGCTTACTTTTGACTTTTTTTAGTTTTCAAGAGAGAAAAAGTTTGTCACGTCACACTCCTTCTAGATGAAATACTACACTAATCTGAAGCACACATGGACTACTCACATACTACAAACTCTGTATTTGTGTATTTGTCTGTGTGTGTGTGTGGGTGGGTGTTTCCTCGCTAGATCCCAAAATGTACACCTGATTTCAGTCCACTGTACCGTTAAGTGTCCACATGTGTTTGTAAATGTGTAGTCTGATGCTCAAAAGTGTAGCTTGTGATGGATGGAGCTGATTTTTCCCCCCTCCAGTTCAGTAAAGACAGCACAGGAGTTGAAGGATTCATTAGCAGGAGCAGAACAGCACTAGCAGTTGGACACTAGCAGTGTCTCCACGTCTCTCTTTCTTTGATGGAGAGAATTATTCACAGATGAGAAGAAAGAAAGCAAAGTCTGGAGCTGTAGAGATGATGATGACCTGAGGAAAGAAGGAATAAGGGGGGAGAAGCAGATTAAGGAAGAGTGTGAGTTAGGGGGAGGGAGGGGGGGTCGAGAAGATATAAACAGCACGCCGTACTGTACGTTTGTAGGGAGGAGGGTTGAGATGCATTATATAACCCATAACATCGAGATTATACACATGCCTCTGCCTTACAGCTCCTACATCTGACAGCTCCACAGCTTCCACTTTATCACACATTCCCAGTCAGGTCATGCTTTTAAAGACTTGACTAGTTTTCCAGTGTAAATCTGTCTGGAGAAGCATCTGCTGCACATTTTGTAGATATGTACTACACTTTCAGATTAAAAAAAAAGTGCATCCACTTTACAAGCTTAACTCCAGGAGATATTTTATTGCTACCGGAGTGATGACACAAATTACCATATCCTGATGACAAGAAAATAATAGCTCAGAAACCATGGCGTGGAAAGAACGAAGTCAGGAGAGACTCACAGTTTTAATCGGAGTGGGGACTGTCCACCACGATGTGTGGCTTTGGGGAGGATGTGGTGGAACTCTTTGACACAAATGTACCGATTGCTTTTTCCTGCAAGGAAGAATACGTTTGACAATTATGTTAATTCTTTGTGACAAAGAAAACACTTTTGATACATTCAGTTAAAAAAAAGGAAAAAGAAAATGTAAATTTTATACATTATGCTGAAGTACCACGGCTACTCATCTTACTTTCTCTATCATACTTTTAGGTGGAAAGTGTAGTTGCTTATGTGTTATGCACAGAGTTACAGTGCAACACAGTATTAGGGCAACATTAAGGAAAAAAATTATTAACAGCTGCCACGGCTGATATGCCCTCTGCAAAATGCCACGTGTAGAGTTATTGAAGCAACTTGATCGGCTGTCTTATTATCAGCTAGGGTGGCTGTAGCTCAGGTGGCAGCGCAGGTCAGCCACTAATCAGAAGGTCGGTGGTTCGATCCCAGGCTGCATCCAGGCTGCATGTTAAATATCCTTGGGCAAGATACTAACCCCGTGTTTGCCTACTGGTGGTGGTCAGAGGGCCCGGTGGCGCCAGTGTCCAGCAGCCTCACCTCTGTCAGTGCGCCCCAGGGCAGCTGTGGCTACAATGTAGCTTGCTATCGCCTGTGGGTGAATGAGTGAATGTAGTGTAAAGCGCTTTGGGGTCCTATGGACTAGAAAAGCGCTATACAAATGCAGGCCATTTACCATTATTGCGTCTTGTGACACAACATACATTCTCTTTATTGCACGAGGGTTGTAAACATCGACATCCTTGCATCTGTCCATTGCCGGATATTTAATTTTGTACAAATCTGGCCAACTCGTCCAAGTTTGTGTGTTTTTTTTTTTGTTCTGACCAGATGCAGCTTTCTGCGTCTCTTCAATGTCCTTATACTTATCACCACACTGTGTGATTGCTACTGAAACCATTACTGAAGTACAATTTCACTAACTCATGTACACGAGGCATTTTGTAGAGAGTTGGCAGTCGCTTGACTTGAAACGGCAGCTTTAATCTTCACATTTCGACTTTTTTCTCAAAATAGTATTTAAGGTTTTAGTTAATCTCCAAATCTAACACATATTTTATCTGTGGCTTGCAGTGCTGTTTAGCTATTGTTTTGGTGTCCAGCTGTACATACTGCCTTTTCTTTAACCTCCTAGGACCTGGCATCCACATATGTGGACATCACATTTTGGGTAATTTAGACTAAAGTACTCAATTTTGCTCTACATTGGCCTGATATTCACTTATGAGGACATTATACTGCTACTGTTCTATCAAAATTTTAAACGAATATCCTCATATGTGGCTCTTATTTTTCTTAAAAATAAAAATAAGGTAAAAAACAAATCTGTTAATTCTTTTTTTTTAACATTCATCGGGCCCCAATGTGCCCGAATACCAAAGAGAAATTAAAAATGCATGTCGTGGAAGAGTTCGGGTCTTAGGAGGTTAATATGGTGGCTTTAGATGACACCTCAGACGTCTCTAAAGACTTGATTGCAGATATTCTTTCTACTCACCAACCCTTCTGTGTATAAGGAGTAGCCAAGAAGAAAAAGTTGGCTTAAAAGGAGGGATTGCTTCAAAGTAAGACTGCCAAAAAGGCTTGTTTCACACAGAGGATTAACGAAGGTACTGCAAACCCCAGTAAAAGACACAAAGGGATCTTTGAATCATGCAAAACCTTCCAGTAGAGGCAACAAAAAAAACTAAAAAGAGTTGAAAATTCACAGAAAAGATGTCATTTTCCAGAAATTGAAAGAGATGCTTTTTTTCTGTCTACTGAACTACACCAACCGTAGCAGAGGGAAGGGTGCAGCCTCCTGTGACGAGAGGCTCACGCTTGTGAAAGCGTGGCAGGATGCAAACACTCAGCTGAGCTGTAACATTAGCTGGCTGTACGCTTCCTCTGGCTGGCAGGTGTTGTTTCATAGAAAGAAAATGGCTTCTACATGAAGCCGCTCAGGTCTGAGGATTTTTTTCCTGAATAACCAGTGCATGCCTTCCAAAAAAAGACATTTCTGCAGAGTTTTTTAATATGGCTCTTTTTTGGCACATCAAAGGCAAAGCAGGCAGAAGCCAGACATTTCTACAGTCAACAGTCAAATCTCCAAAACTGGATGACTCACTCAAATAGATGAACAGCACTACATGACGAAGGCAAACATGTAGGTTTAGTTTGGGGTGAACTGCCACTTTAAAGGAACAGTGCAACAGTGTGCGAGGTATATACGTAAATATGAAAGAGCCAGCAGCTGTTGTTTCATATGGTGGATGTGAGCAGTGTAAGGAAACAGCTTACCTGACTCAGAAAAGATAAGAAAGTCTGTCTGCTGGAAATGATGACGTTTATCTAAGCTTATCTACATATAATTATGCATTATAGAGATTAGGAGGTGTTTCACACAATGGCACATCCTGCGTAATAATTACTTTTAACTCTCATATGAAAGTGCATATGTTCCCAGGCAGTATTTGTTATTACCTCTTACCTATGGTAGAATGTTTTTGAATTTTATTTTGCTTCTTTTTCTAGACCTCTAAAGGCCTTTGCTTTTGTTTGACATTTCCACCTGAAAATAGACTCCCAAATATAATCACTAACAGTGGCAAAACCTAAACAACTCTGAGCTCAGTGGAATAGAGACGTTTGGTCAAGAACTTTGAAATGCAAATAGTCCTCTTAATCTTACCACCAGCAAATTCTGAGGATTTAACCTTTCAAATTTGACCTAATAAAATCTATAAAAGAGAGCAACGCTGATGTTTGTGAGCCCATGTTTGTGAGCAAATCCACTGCAACAAATATGAAATTCAGCAACAGCTGCTTCACTTTAAGTCAAGGTAATATTATACGGCTTCTTAAGTGAATGTGTCATGCTCTGCAGCCTGTCGGTGCTCTAATAACAAATACTGCCTGGGACCATCAGAGAGGAAGAGTTTAAACAAAAGCTGAGTAATTATTCCATCACTGCTACTCCTTCCACTCAAACTGTACCATTTCTTCCATGCTAATGTCACTGTTACTATGCTAATGCTAAATCATTTTCATCATATTGTATAAATTATTATAGTTATGCTCAGCACCCAAGCATATGTACTCATAGTGAAAGCACACAGATGCACACGCATAGACTCACACGCTCGTATGCTCATTACCTCCACAAGCTGATGCCAGTGCTCTATTGGTTTGCGAGGATTGGCCAGCATGGCAGCCCAGTGCTCCCTCCCCGGACCTTCAGCTTCGCTCCCTACACGACACATCCCTATAACCTCGTTATGACCGATGCTGATACGCAGCAAGGGCAGGAGGAGTGGAAGCGAGGATGGGAGAGACAGAGAGAGAGAGAGAGAAAAACAAGCAGTTAGAAAAGGAAACGGTTGAAGAGAGGGATTAGAAAAGCAGAAGGAGGGAGACAGGGCTTGTAAGAAGCAGCCGCAGAGTCTCATTTATCAACCTTGAGTATTGGGAAAAGAATACAGCGGTTGAGGAAGGGAATTGAATAGCAGCTCACAAATACACACAGCTCTGTATAAAACCTCTGTCAGTGAGGAAGCAGGCATGAGCACAAACATACAAAAGCACACACCTATAGAGATGCCAAATGGAGGGCAGGCTACATAATAGGGAGGCGGTGCATTTGTACACAAACACATCAAGCAGCCAAGTGTTGCTGCAAGCGTCAGACAGCCCAACGCTGGCAGGGTTACACTTCCTTCTTCGCCATTAGCATAAATCATTCTTATTCATGAGGTGCCCGTCTATGTAAAACAGGGAACATCCACAAGGAGGCTGACTCACAAGGGGCCCCTCATCGTGTTCAACACAGCTGCAGCGCGTCAAAATGTGATGACCCAAAAGCAGCATCGCGCCTCATGCGCAAAAAGCGCACATTCAATAAGCAGCTACTTCACAGCAACGCTTGAATTGATCTGAAATCCCCTGGAGCATGCTTCACTATAATAACACCTCAGCGTGCTCACCAGTCATAGTCCATCACTGCGATGATGATGGATACATTTTCTATATTTTCATTGGGAATGTCAAACACCAGCGCCTCGTTGTACGTGGGATTCAGCGTGTTCTTCTTGATGGAGGTCTTCCTCTTTTTTAGCCTCCGCCCGTCACATACCAGAGAGGCCTTCACGTACGGATCTGAAGCAGAGAACGGGGAGGGGGGCGAGAACAAGGAAGATGGGAAGGGAAAGAAAGCAGGTGGTGGGAAAAGGAAGAGGGGGAGGCGTGGAGAGGAGCAGAAGAAGAAAGAGGTGGAGAGAGCCAGAGAGAAGCAGGGGGCGGAAGCAGAGAGAATAAGATAAGAGGGGACTCCTGTGAATGCTGTTAGGTATTATGTTCACAGGTATCCGCATCTGTAACGCATAAAAGGCATGAAAATCAAGTCACCTTGGCAAAGCTGGATTAAGAACACAAAGGGAGAAAAGCAGCACAGGTTGAATCACCTCAGTTATCCATTCAACATGTGCAGCCTGGTGACAGCAGCCAAGGAAAACACACACACCCACACGACTCTGTTTTTATGCCACGTTTAAGCATCTTTCCGGGCCCGCAATCATGTCGGGATCAGCGAGGAACAATAGCAGCGTGCGATCATTAACATTTCAGATCTCATTTAATCTGAGAGGGCAATCATCAAGCCCTTAAGTGAAGGATAACTAAAATCTCTTTTTAATATAATTGTTAATTAAATATCAGAATTTGGATTCGCATTTCTACGTCTGCAACGCCTCCAGGTCAGATGGTTGAGGTGCCTCTACCCCTTGAAGCTCTGGTCACACAGTTAAATACAGTCAATCTGGTGATGCTCTATATATTCAGGGAATATTTAGCAAAGATTTGTAGTAATTTGCCTCGTCACGCTACGTCTGCTCCTGTAAGTAATTTATTAGGTTTTGGGGAATTCCTTTCTGACAACATTTTTTATGCACGCTTGTTGGTTTTATTGAAAGTGGAGATAACGGTAACGAAAGAGGAGTTGGCGTCCTCCGTCATGTTACAAAGCCGCATTACACCGATCTGTGGCGGCGGCCTCTGCTGGAGAAGACTTTCTTCTTCATTTGTTGCTAAATGGCATGTAAATGACTATTTTATCGAAAAAGGATCTAACACCATGTTTACCAGTGATGTTTACCCACAGGAGAAAAATATCTCTACAGGGCTTCACGCCAGTTATTATGGTATACATCTGGCCAGTGATCAGTCAGATCAGGATATAAAGCTAAAAGCACTCAGGAAAGCAACATATATCACCAGCAGCTGTTTTTGCAGACAGCGCTTAAGCTGTTTTCTGTCATATTTTTCCTCTAAATGAGTTTCCAGTCAGAGTGCTTGCTGGAGGTCTTGCAGCAGCATGATGTGTGTGAATGCATTAATTCTTTACCTGAGAAACCAGTCAGGTCCATGGCTTTGAGGTTGGTGGCCTTGATGATTGTAGCGGTGAGCCTGCCTGCAGTGGGCAGGTAACACAGCGAGAAATTAAGTTCCCCGAGATCGGCCTTCTCCTGTAGGTCAATATACACGCAAACAGAGATCAGAAATGGGGCGAGGTCAGACAGATCACACGCAGCATCAGAAACACAGAGATAAGAATTCTGTGGTTTGCTATCTGTGCTTGAAACGAGTTAGATCTGTGACTGACAGCGCGCAACAGCAGGTGTCCCGATGTGGACAGCAGGAGTGTTTGGGCACGGGGGAAATGCTGTCGCTGCAAATGAATCATACACTGATCTGCTGAAGTCACTGACTAGGAAAGAGTTAAATACAAGCAATGACATGTGGGCTTTTTATATCTCTGCCTCTAGTGCTATCTGCTGATCTGCCCGTGCTCTCAGTGGCACCTCGGTAATGACACCGGTGGTATTCAGATCACACGGTGATGCGATGGCTCCTTAGTGGCTTTGAGGCTCACTAATCAATACTTCCCAAAGTGAAACACTGAAATACGCCGATGACGCTGATGCTTTAAACTTACTTAATAAATTAAAGCCCCATGCCAAAAAATGTTTAAGACTCTGCTCCATCTAATTTGCTAATAGCCTTCTATGAATATTTCATATAAATCTACTTGGACATTGCCTAATATAAAGTTTGGAAGTGGCTAGCATTGCCCTTCCAGTAATCTATCTGGACTCTTCTGAGCTGCTTTGTTACTTTACCAGACTGCGAATTAATCTGTGCTGCAGGCCATTTCCGCTCTGTACCATTTCTATACTTCTCCTCCTCCTACATATACAATACAAGCTGGGTTTATTTTAGATGATTCCGACATGTGTTAGTATTTGAGTCTTAATTTCCCCTGCAAAACCTGAGTAATAAAACATTCTTGACTCGGTCCAAAAATTGTCCAGTTTAATTGCAGAAGCCTTAAAGCATCTTTTATTCATATTTATCAAATATTTGAAACTTTTAATGACATTAAATACAAACCACATCAATTCAGAAAATGATTTTCAAAGTAAAAGAATTCAGGTATTTAGACATCCACATATTTAGTACGTGGCTGTCTTTAAAAGTAAAACTATTGTGGCTTTTCATGCTTTTGTCATTTGGGTAACTGAATGTTATTTTTTTTGTTAACATAATTCTGTACTCTCAGGGAAATCTGGAAGATCTGGGGAGAGATTACATCATACATGACCATCAGAGAAATGTCTGACTGGCTTCAAATGATGTCTGAAGCAGGACGACGAGCCCAAACAAACAGAATCCTAAAGAACTATCTCGAGTCACCAGAACAACAAACAGATGGTGTGGGTCTGGGATTACATTAAGACAAAAATGCACCAGAGACAACTTGAATCCACAGAACTGTGGCACGTTCTTCCAGGTGCTCGATAACCTACCTGCAAATTACTGTGTGCAAGTGTACCCGAGAGAATTCACGCAGTTAAAAGCCAAGGATTTACTACTTTTTTCAGTTTACTGCACTTTTGTTGTCATTATTCGAAAAATGCAAACAATTCATGGCACGTCAGTCAATTGTTGCTTTACTTTCAGGGCCATAAACTTTTTCACTGCATCTTTTATCCAACAGGAAATACAAGACAGTGACGGCCAAAGGTTTTGTTAAACGTTTGAGTTATTGAAAGTTCTAAAATCCTTGAGATTGTTTTTCTCTTTGTCATAGAGACATGAAAAAAAAATCTAAAACTGAAGCAGCAAAGTACAAGAAAAACAAACAGTGCAGGTCCTTTTTTTCCCTTCTTTCAACTTCCCAATATGTTAACCCTTTAATAAATATTGAAACATTTTAGTTAACTGATATAAAAATAACATTTACTGGCAGAACATTATGCGCTCATATGTGAACATAAGCTTGTTTTGATAAAAACAAAACTGAGATGACCAAAACTGAAACTAAGCTGAACAAAAGAGGTTTAAAATGCAATAAAAATAAGAACTATTGAAAAACAGGTGTAATAACTCTGACTCACCTCGTGTCTGTGTCTACCTTTTTGTACCTTCATACAGCTATATTTGTTTTCTCTTTCTTCCGAGGCCAAAATTGAGATTCATTTTTGTAACGTTATGGCACCCACTTCTGCCTTAAATCTCAAATAGAAGCTGTCAGATTTCCCATTTCTGTTTCAGTTCTATTTATCACAGCTTTGGCCCATAATTTGCAGCTGCAACGGCCCAAATGCACCACAAGGCTCATTCAAATTTCATCAAATCTAATCTACAGTGGGCATCTCCTCCAAATGAGCATGTCTATTTTGGGTTATTTCTTACCGCAGTGCCCTCCACAATGTCCCTCCAGATGGGTTTGTCCCCGGTGCCCTCGCTGAAGTCCAGCAGGTTGTCCACCACTACCTGGCCTATCAGGTCGTGTCTGGAGAAGCGGTCAAAGTCGTACACGGAGAAATGCAGTTTCCTGGAATGTAGCTCATTCAGCGGCACGCCAAACTGAAATGTCTCATTGAACACTGGGTTTAAGGTCTTCCTGTGGACCTGAAAGACAGACAGAATTTACTGTTTAGATCATAGCTGCGTAAATATCTTGTACTCGTATTGTAGTAATGAAATAATTAATAGGTAGGTAACAAATTTTCAGGTGGGAATGGGGAACGAAGGGGTAGCAAGGGACTACTATATTTTACAGCCCACACACCCTGGACTTGCACTGTAATAAGAGTGCCACTGCCTATATTTTCATTGCTGTCTCTCAATAGTATGCTGTCAGTAAAAAGCAATGGCAATTCCATCAGCTAGAATTACTCAAAACACATTTAACCTGATGTTACCTTCTGTTATTAAGGTATCAAATAAGTGCAAGGAATACTTATAAGCCAGTAGTTCCTGCCTAAGACAACTCCTGGAAAACAATGGCTTGAAGGGCGCGAAGTATGGCTTATTTTAGTCCCACATGCCTACAGAATTGTTGGCAACTTCTGGAGGCTGCTGAGTGAAAGCGGTTGCTAGTTGAGTAATTGACATGTGCAGAAATGCAGACGATGGGCAACTGCAGCAACCTGGTTGCAACCAAAGGAATCACAAGTACTTTTTCAGTGCAGCATTATATACCTCTTTGCAAACGATTTCACCAAGTCACTGCCAGCAACCAGTTTCAAACTGGTCAGAGAATGCACATTTCTCCTAGCAACCGACTGTTGCCAGGCAATTATCAAACAGTCTCCAGGCTTGTGCGACTCAGGCTATTGAACTGAGGGGCGATACCAGGACGAAATAAATAAAGACTATTTTAAATGAATAATTATGCAGAACTACTTTGATAGACTAGTAATAGGTGAACTGCACTGTAGCTACAGACTTATATCCTTTTAAGGGCCGTTACCTGATGTGTTAATTTATAATACAGTAATAACAATTTTTAATATCATCATTTCATCCATCCATCCATTTTTGTTTTATTACCGATTCTCTTTATATTTGTAACTTTTCATGCAGAATAATAAGTACTTGCAAAGGAATTTCTTCTGTTTTAATCTGCAGATTTACTCTTTTATATATAACAGTTATTTTCACATTTGAGTCTTTTTTATTGATTCTTTCATTCCAGCTAAAAACATAAGACATTTCTGAAGATAAATTCATGAAAACCAGCGACTTGTTTGGCAACTCTTAATGCTCTATTGAAAATGCACCCAGAATCCCCTGCTGAATTTATGAAAAATCATTATAATCTGCCGCAAAGTAAAATGTATTTTTCAGGCTGTTTCACAAAGTGCAACTATATTTCTTCAACCAAACAAACAGGATGTTTTCTTTTTTCCAGCAGAGGAGAGGAGTCACTGAGGATTTGTGGCTTCAAAAATCCTCAAACAACCTGCTGAATGTTTCAAAGTTTGTCTTCTGGCTTTTATGTGTGACTTGAATGAAGCAATGCAAAACTTTCAAAATGCTTTCCTTGGAGGCACAAACTGAGCTGCATTTGTTCAAAATTCCTTTCCTTGAAAGCAGTAATCTACAGGATCCTCGTGTTTTAAAGCAACATCTTTGACACCGAGAGCTTAGCGCTGTTTTTTGGTATTTAAACTTTGGCTGAATTTGAGTTTATGGTGTTTTTTCTCAATCCTGGGCTTTCTTTTGTTTCCCTATCTAAAGCACACAGATATTCTCCACTTTCGCCCAAAACAAATTAGAAAACAGAGAGCTTTAAAAGCTTTAAGGGTGAATCTAAACAGCAACATCAGCCCAGACTTGTAAGCATTAGCAACTTCTTTCTTTTTTTGTTAATGACTGACATTATTTCAAAAACATGACAGAGGGATGTGTTTAAAAGTGTGCCGCGTTTGCTAAAATGTCCTCGAGCCACATAATTATCATCTAACACACTGGCTGACCTTGTTCCTTTGCCAGGGTGAGAAAAGTGAATTTCACCTTTCCCTTTGGGATGGAAGACCCAATCATAGTTGTGAAATTAAATAACGACCAAAAACTAGATTTAAAACTGAATATTTTCTTTTTGTCACACACGAACAGTTCTTTCCTTAACTCTCGTATCTCGTGTCACATCAATTCAGTCTCACGGAAAGACGGCGGCTATAATTTCCTCCTCATCACATCTCAGCATATTGTGGGCTCCGTTTGTAAATTTGTCGTCAACCTCATTCCGGCTCCAACACATAATTTTGCTATTTGCTGTTTTGCCAGTGGGATTTATTTGCTATGAAAGCATTTGATGTGGATGCTGTCATGTTATAAAGCATGTGCAAATTAAAATGTGATGCACACAGTTTTCCAAATCCAACTTTTGTGGCTGCGTGAGCGGCTCTGTCACTTCGGCTTATTAGCACTTGATGATTACTTGTTAGCTTTGGATTAAACAGGCAGCTGATGAAAGCTCTTTGAGTTCTGCAACCCGAACACAAGCCCTAACATCTACATCGAGGCGTTGTGTTTCTTTTTTTGAAAACGGTTGGAGGCATAAAAGCATTGCAAAATATGAGTGGTGTAAAAATTCGGTGTTAATGAGGATGTGATTGAAATTAAACAATCACCTACACTCCAAACAAAAGAGGAGCCGTATTATGCAAATGGATGAAGCATTCATGCTTTTCAGTGGTTGAAGGGGCTTTTGATGTGCCGGAGACAGTCACACAAAAGGGAGAAATTTCCAAATCATACAGCTTCACTGTCACTGAAAGCTTATTTTTCTCACTTTCCCAGCCCTCTTTGATTCTTTTTATCCCAACACGGCAAAAGTACAACCCCATTTCCAGAACATGAAAGAAAAATTTAAAATGATTAAATATATATATACATATATTCTTTAATCTACATTTAACTGAAAATAGTGCAATCAAAAATGTGACAGTCAAAAAGAAATGCAGATTGTACTACTATAACATATAGTATTATATAGAAGGCATTTAATAGGAGGCACAGCCTTCTCTGGACGTGATGTAAGCACGCCTGCAGCTGTGCAACCCTGCATGTCCCAGACGTGTTCAGCAGCAGACATATTAGGCCTGAAAGGCCTGCACCTCTCTGGCGGCGTGGGGACGGGCTTTGTCCTGCTGAAACAGCCGCACGGTGGGGTGCCGCAAGAGTGGCACAAATACATGTGCAAGGCTGCAGCAACGTACATGCCAACGGCCCAGCTTTGACCAACTTCAGCCAGTCGCAGCATGCTGGCAATGATGTTCATTTGCACATTTGTGTTTGGTAAACTAATCCTGCCACTAGTTAGCTAACTGATCAGCTGGAAGGTTTGGGTTTTCTGAGAGATTAAGATGATGTGAAAATGAAGACTGAAAATATTTCACAGCATAAAAAAGACCAACCCCCCCCCCTAAAAAAACACCTTGTAGCAAATATGGCGTTGTGGACACTGTGAAAATACTCCACGGCCAGAAAGTTAGGTGAAAAGAATTTCATCATTTACAGCAAAATATAAATTAAAAATCCAGAGAAATGTCTGTAGTAAAGACCAAGGCCCCAAACCCTGTTTTACAGCCATAATCTTCAGGGCTTTAGACAGCAGTATAGCCGAGTGTAAAGAGAGGTCCCTTTATCCATTTCCATGAGACAATTTTGTGTTTTCAAAGAACATCCTTTGCCTTGTCATTTTGACGGTTGAATCCAGCCGAGCTATGGAGTCACAGACTGGGAACAGAGGCTTCAGAAAGTCGCTGCACTGAAATGCAAGTACAGCGACTATGTTTCTCCGAGCCCAATCTCAAAGCGATGGAGCTGTAAGGCCAAGTTTCATTTCTATGAGCAGCCAGTTTCACAGCAGCCGCCTCGGCTGTATAATACAGGTGATCATAGATCTTTTATTTACTTTTTGAGTAAACGTTATAAGGGCTAATAAACTGTTGTGTGGACCGGTCGAGGGTCAATAACCCTTGACGTGATTAAAGCATGTGTGGGCCTTGATGTGATTCTCATTTCCCATTGTGCCTTTAGTGAAACTGAATTTGAAACCCCCATACAAGCAGGAGCGGTGTTAAATGCACATCATTTAATTCTGTTTTCTCTTACATGTTACATAGGTTCACAAGTTCAGAGACAGGACGCTACTGGTGATATTTATAGATCTAACACAAAGAACAACAACTCACATTTGTGAGGCCACAGAGCTCATAAGTTCTGAGCTTTTCCACAGAGAATAAATTAGAAGACAGGAGGATTTTTCAAGGGCTAAGGGTACATTTCCTGGTACAGAATGTCCCGGAATGTACTCAAATATTGACTGAGCTGTCCTCAAACACCAAAATAACACGCAGGAGTTGAGTAGCAGAGCCCTGTAATAGTCAGAAGAACATTATCCTGAATAAATTATGCTCCAGATTAGATTAGATTACATTAGTTGAACTGTAACGATTCTCCACGGGAAGGCTGGGCCATCAGTGCATCAGGAAACAGGCCGAGAGAAAACAAAAAACTGATGCTGTTTAAATCTTAAGGGGATTCTTTTATTGTGTGAGCTTTTTCCACAGCATCAAGTGAGCAGTTTGCCACTAAGGATGAGTGTGGTAGGAGTGAGAAGCACCTTTGTCTGGAATTTCTTCTTCCTGTCTGGCAGTAGGTAAATCTTCACGTACGGGTCAGAGAAGCCATTGGCATCCTTCGCTGGCAGGTCCAAAGCTTTCAGTATCTTCACCACCAACTGCTCCGTACTGCGAGAAACATACACAGAAAACTCCATTAAACTCGTATATAAAAAGCCAAGAGGCCAGAGGTCTCCCAAATTTGCACGAACACGTATGAGCCCTAGACAGGGTCAGCCTCCCCACACACCCAAACACCTCAGCAGAACTCATATACGCGTATAATAGTGTGGGAGGTTCAGTGTCTCTGGTGTAAAGAGTATCCAGAATAGCTTGTGTGGTGTGCGTGTCTGTGTGTGTGTTTGTGTCTTATCCCTGCAGCTGTATCTTGGTTGCACTATCAGCGATGTAAGCACAGCAAGCACAGATGTTCAGCAAGCGCGCCTGTCCAGTGCTGAGCTCATTAATTAACCTTAACACAGTACCCTTTAATCTGTAGTCACTTGGGTCATGGAGATGTTGGTGCAAAAGAGCCGAGCAGAAAAAGATGAATAATTTATTAGCCAATAACAAGAAAATGAATGTATTTCACAGGAGTACGGATTAATCATTGTAACAAGTGCATGTTTAACATTTGCTCGGAAAATGCGAGAAACTGCAGCTTTTCTACATCACGTGTGATAATACGTGACCCAAGAGACAGATTCAAAATCTTTACAAAAAACCCCCTAAAATACGAAAACATGCAAGCACCCAGCTGTCAGAGTTATCAATGTAAACACATTTATTTGACTGATTGCATATTTCTTGTACATTTAATCAATACTACAGTGATTGCCTAAGGCAGTGGTTCCCAAATAGGGAGCAGGAGCTCCAGGAGAGATGCTGGGGTGAATTTAAAGAAGTTGTCAGATGACTCCTGTACTCCTGTAAAAATGAAATCATCCCAAAGAAACACCTTTTTTCAGTTGGCAGCATTCATGCAGATGTTATATTTGTTAACACAACGCTACTCCCAGTAATAAGGAAAAAAGAGAAAATCACGTTCCACACAAACAAAATTAGTAAGAATTAAGTTATTAACATATAAATCAGGTTGAAAGCTACAACTTACCAGCAATACTAGCAATTTTTTTCTATGGTGAAAACCTTCACCTTTTAGTGACTGTGAAATTATTGAATTAAAAATTATTTGCAACCCCACTGATCACAGGTTTTTCTGTGGGTTTGGAAACCAAATCAAAAGAAATCCTTGGTGTAAAGCGATTATCAGAAACACACATTGTGGTTTTATAATCCTTATTTAATCCAGCAGTAAACAAAAGTGTACCTTGAACACGGACATTTTAAATAGAAACCTGCATGTGTCCATCACCTCCAAGGTGACTGATGGGTCTTTTCATGCAACTAAACATCACAATTAATAGTTTTGCTGTTACAGGATTGTTTAATCAAACAACTGTAAAACAGGCCCGTAATATTAATTATAACTCTTATATAAATATATAAAATAAATAAAAACAGCCTGCAGCTAACAATTACTTTCACTAACAATTTATCTGCTGATTATTTTACCATTATGCGCCACACAATCTTTAAAAATGAGTCAAACAATTAAATTGTTGTTGTAAGTTCTGATTATTTTTCTTCCAGTAAACGAGTCAAAGTATTAGCTCCTAGAAACCTCAACATTTTGATTTCTTATGTGGATTTATGGTTTTTCTACCTTGTATTGTACATGTATGTTACATCTGTTTTTCTCCAAACAGAAAAATAATGCTATCAGCAGCTTTGATCTAAAAATAGCACTTTTGACACACTCCCTTATAAATGCACAAGTAAGCACTATAACTGGAGTGTGAGCATTTTTGTTTTTTGTCATGGAAACAAACATGCGTGCAACATGCCCACAAACACACACACAAACACAAGCATGCTGATGCGCATGCCCTAACATCTAAACGCTCCATCACACCGTCATGGCTGCATCTCCCAAGTCGTTTGTTATGTATTTAATTAGCAGATGAAGATGAAGATGGCTCGGAGGCTTTTAATCAGACCTCGTTAGACTGTGTCTCTACGAGTTAACCAGTGTGTCAGCACTTCATTAGCTGCTTAAGGAGAACAGCGTGAACTTTGGGGCTGAGGAAGGATCAGCAGGGCGAACGCTGGCAGTGACCCTGGCAGTTATGTCTTCTCTGTCCAAATGCAGCATTTAGTACAGCCGTGGCCAATCCAGACACATGTTTACCTCTGTATCACATCCAATTAAAGCAATCAGATAAACATGCCTACCAGTCTGCAATCACACTGAATAAGGGAGAAGATGTGCGGCGCCAACTGCTGCAGGAAATTACATTTCCAGGCAGGTAAATATTTTAACATGAAAGCCCTGAGTCATTTAAAAATGCATCAAATAATCATTTAATCCAGTATGATTTGTGGATATGTTGGCAGCAAAGATTCTGCGGTCACCTCAATGCATCAGTGCGCTTTAATGACAGGAAGCTTGTGAACAAAAAAACCCAAACAAATCTACCTCTCTCTTATTATCATGAATTTTCTATTACCTGTTAATTGATAGTTTAACATGGCTGCGGGTTTTCCTGCACTCATATGTCTTACTACAGAGCAAGACATGAGCTCGAACCAAACGCCAGGTTTTTACACAATCCCCGAGGCAACCTGCAGAGAATATACCTATTACTGCTTGAACAGGGAGTGAAATTCACAGCCTTATTCCTGGCAGACAATGCCCGAAAGCTAGCTGTTATTCCCACAGTGGAAATGTGTCAGCTTTTAATGGGATTGTCAATAGAAATGCCTTTCCCACAGGATCTGAGGAAGACTGACATTGTTGTTCTGAATGTTACACTCCAAACAGCGGGGTTTCGCACATTAACATACCAATCTTATCACTGCCGCAACACTAACACACCAACACCTCGCGTGTGCATCTACACACCTACCCACACTTGTTTTTGCTACATCTCAGACCTTTCCCCCTCACTTACATCTGCTCACTGGCCTTAATGAAACAACGTGATGCATTACAAGCGACTAGAGAAAGGCATAAGTTAACATGTGACTTTATAAATGGAGGGAGGAAAAAAAAAGGGCACACGAATCGTTTTCGTCACTGCCCTCCGTCTCCTACCAGCTCCCATGCTAATTCTCCGTATCTGTAACTTCAGCTATAACACAGCCTGGTGTTATTATGTGTTGACAGGGTTGCTGTTTAAAGTGGCTCTCCATATATAATTCATGACCGAAACGGCCTCTCGCTCCCTTTCTTTTCTGACCATCAGCACTTTTGCCCATCGCAGTGCTTCTACATGTCAAAGCAGGCAGAAATGGGGGCTGCCAGCTGAGCAGCCGACTCACTCCTTCCCACAACCCACCAGCACCTCGACTTACATTCACATTCATGTACACACCCAGCCCGCACAGCATGGCAGCCAACAGTTACATACTTAGACCCAGCAGACCCGTGCTCTCCAGCAGAGAGCATTCAACTGAGCGTCGTCAAAGGAGTAAAAAAGGAAAGTAAGTACAGCAGCCTGTGCCACACAGTATCTAAAGACACAGATGCCACTTTCTCATTTTAAAAACCTTAATATTTCAGTTTATTATCATAAACAAATGAGAGCACAGCTGAGAAAACAACTCTCACATCTCCTGCTGGTGATAAGTTAGCTCAGAACGTGCTCGCTGTCTCAAACTCAATTTCTCTACTTCAGTTGGAGGATTTCTTTTTGTGTCTACTGAAGTGGATAAACACGCTGGAAGATATTTTCCCAAGAAGCATCCTCTTTGTTCTGTGCCATAAAGACATTCAGCAAATCAGTGCATGTTTGCGGCACCTGACTTAGTATTTGAACGACTTTACAACCTAGCGTGATCAAAGTGGCTGAAAAACAGATGCATCAGCATTCAACGGAGACGTGCTGGTAGTTCGAACCAGTTTTGGTTTCATCATGCAAAGCTGAGAAGTTGTTCTTAGAGATAAAATTCTACAAATATATATCCCTGCTATCACAAGAATCTACAGGGTGCTGGATTTATTTATCTACTCGTCTTTTAACCAGGCTAGCAGTCTTTTTTTATGCATGGCACCAGTGGTCTATCCGCCCAGGCCAGCCAGCAACTTCCAGAGCCAAAAAATGAAAACAACGTGTAAGTGCTAAAAATTATAGTACCTGCAGCAGCCACTCGAGGCGAGTCATTCCCCATAGATACCCATGTTAAAATACCCACCTTTACAATACTAAAAAGCATGTTTATAGCCTGCTAAAAAAGGGTTTGGGGCTCTGGAGCTTTTTTGCTCTGTCATAAAAACTGTGCAGGGTGTTATTTTTTTCTAACCCAGCCAACTTAATTAGGATGTCTGCTAGGCTTCACCTCCACTAAACGAACTGCTGAACCTTATTTGTGCTGTTGACCCTTATTAGAGCATTAAATTAATAATTTGGCTAACTTTGACTGTAGTTGTACTAACAGCCTGTGGTTCTGTCGGGTTTACACCCATACACTCGCGGTCACCAACCTGGCAGTCGAAAAACTCACAAAACAGATCTTAGTGCTTACATCCATCTTTAATTTACAGGCTATAGTCCTGACTAAAATATCCCAACTACTGTAAGATAGATTGCCAATCTTAGTACTAATTAACATATGTGCATATTAACACTAAACACAAATGCAAATGTATAAATGAAAATGTAAAAATGCGTACATATTAGTGTGATAATTCTCAAAACTAAAGACGCTGTTACATTCTGTGGTGGTTTGTGTTGAAAGTCTTATGACAGATGATTTTATGATGGGAAAGTCTCCATGCTACTGACTGTGTAAGTGTGTATTTACTGATTCGTTGAAAGCACTGTATGCCCACTCAATAACAGCCTCACAAAGATACTAGTGCAACCCAGCTGTGTGGTGATGTAACAGCTGCACCATTCACCGTTAAACTATGTATGGTAAATGATTTATTAATGTTCAAATTCTCCACTTTTTACATTAGAAGACATTGGCAGGGTGAGAGTAGGTTTCTTTTGGTGCAAACTTGCTGACTTACTTGAAGGCGTAGCGCAGGAGGAAGCTGATCTTGCCGCAGGTGTCGCCCTGTTTGCCTTCGCCCTGGTCGCCTTTGGGTCTGTAGAGCTCCGGTTTAATCTGCCCAATGCTGGTTACCTGTTCCTTCTCCTCTCCGTGGAAATCGGGACTGGAGAGCTGGTGAGTCATGGGCTTGGGCCTAAACAGAGATAAAAGGGCTCAGAGGGTGCATATTAAGGGAAGCGCACCAAATGCACACATGTAGTCACTAAAAAAGTGTGATTTTGCAACATTATCAGAGATACAGAGACGGGCAAATATTTTAAATTGGAGTTTACCCACAGTTTGATTTCCCACACCTTTTTGTATGCATATGTTTACAGTGCAGTTGCAATGCTTGCAAATATATGAAGGGAAAAAAGCAAATAGCAAAGTAGCTTTGTGGTGATAATAATTCTGTAAAAAAAAACACACGTTTCAGAAAATGTGCACTTTAGTGTTTATAGAGTTAACATTTGTGCCCTTGCTTTGAAAAAATCCACGTGTCCACAAAGTGAGATATCATAAAAAACCATTCAAAACAAGCAGTGCAGACGCTTCGCTTTACAGACCTCAAAAGTGTTCATTAAAAGAGAGCAAGATTAAAACCGCTGTAACCTGAGTAATGCGATTTTTACGACTGTGTTTTCAAAAACACATTTTATAAAGGTAGAGTCCTCCTCTTATTGATTTACTGATGTGTTTGTTAAATGGATGTACGGTAATGATCACCAGCTCGGGGGTTAAAGTTCACTCCTGTTTTTATTTCCCACTTTGTCTCTGAATTTGGCGACAAAAACGTCAGCGCTAACGGACTTAAATGAAAAACAAACACACACACTCGATACTGACCGAGGGGTGACCTGCTGTTGGGAGTGAGCGTTCGGCAGGTCTTTATGGGCTCCACCCTCTGAGTTGGGAACGTCTGGAGACGTCTGACTCAGCTTCAGAGTTCCTACAAGAGTATAAAATCTTTGGTGACTCACATGCTTGTTTTGTTTTGTTACAGTGCCACTAAAGACCTGCATTTTTGTCAGCAACATTGATCTCATTGATTGTTGTACTTTGATTTAGCAGGCAGTGATTTACCAGCTGAGGGGAGTGAAGGAATGAGCAGACATATTTACAATAGCAGAACATGAGCCAGCATTAAAGGCATACAGAGACGTGAAACAAGGCTACATCAAACTGCAATAAAGGCAGCCAGCAAACATTTGATATTGAATAATGATAAACAGCGTGCACCAGCGTTGACAGCCAGCATAAATAAAACTCCAGGATGAAAACTCAGAGCTGTTTTTATAAACTCAGGTCCAAAATATCTCTGACAACAGTTTCTATTTTAGCTTCTTTTTCTAATTGCTGCCTGTTTTTGTATAATGTTGTGCTCAGCTGACAGGCCAGTTCAAAACACTCCATCATCACATGCTGTTTGGACAGCATGGCTTAAAGTCAGGTGCATGTTTTAAGGCTGTCTTTTATTCCTGCAATTGAGTCAAAACAGCACAAAACAGCAAAAAACAGCGAGAATGCATAAAAATGGCAAATGGCCTGTATTTGTATAGCGCTTTACTAGTCCCTAAGGACCCCAAAGCACTTTACACATCCAGTCATCCACCTATTCACACACTGGTGATGGCAAGCTATATTGTAGCCACAGCCACCCTGGGGCGCAGTGACTGCCGGACAATGGCGCCACCGGGCCCTCTGAAGTGTCTTGCCCAAGGACACAATGACCGAGACTGTCTAAGCTGGGGCTCGGACCAGCAACCTTCCAATTACAAGGCAAACTCCCAACTCTTGAGCCCAGCTTTAAGTCAGAGGTAAATACATAGGAATAATGGTGTCACATTACCATCTACTAACTGTGATGTGTGATACTGACGTTGAAATATCATTATGGATTTCTACAGTTATGTAACTCTCTTGGCACCGCAATTGGATTTTGAATTTAATTAATCTGCTAAAAAAGACTCAATAAGCAAAGGTACGGTTTAATTTGATAATTTGATTATTATCATTAGAATTGTTATCATTTTATGAATATTTATATGTTATTCTATTATGTAACATTACTTCTCTCATCTTCATATAGTGCAATATTATCATTATAGTAATAAAGGCAATAATAATAAAGGCAAACTCCAATGAGAGTCTTCAATATATTTAATATTAATATTAATAATTTTAATTAGATTGCTTGTTTGTTCAGGGCATATCTGTTTTCACTTGGGTTTCAGTACGCTTAATTTATTTTCTACAGCAGGTGTGTTAAACTAAGAGCCTGGGGGGCAGAACCGGCCGCTCGAATGACTTTGCAAAGTGTGAAAATTGCAGAGGAGGTCATAGATTTGGGAATTTTCCCTGTATTTTGCAAAAGGAAGCATTGTGCTGCAGCTCGTTAAGAATTGATCATGTGCTTCTTTAATTTAGCAGTGTTTCTTTATAATGACAGTATACTGACTGAATGTGGGAAAAACTCATATATATTGCTGAAATTGCCCTCATTTTTCTTGAGACATCTCAGGATGTTCGTAATCTATTATCTAAATAGACGGCTGATTAAATCTGAGTGTTTTCAGAACGTACTTGCACAGCTATACACCAAAAGAAAGGGAACTTTTGGACAGAGTATTTTTTACAGGTTATTAGGCAGCGGTTTTACCAGTTCATCCCCCTTGAGATGGAATTGGGCTGTGTGTGGCTCATAAGCTAAAATGAAATTGACACTGAGGTCTGCATGCAGGTGTTTTCTGCAAGCATGCTCTGATAAAACTAGCTGCTAAGGACAATTAAGCAGCCAAGGAGCTACTAGTAGAGTTCCTTCAGCATTCAAGAAGAACAAAACAGAGCTAAATGGAAAGATATATTTATCAGGTGGCGGGAATCAGAGGTCTTTAGGTTGTAAATCAGCCACTCACCTCCATCATATGTTCCAAAAATTATTTAAAAAAATAATAAAATAACAAATTTGCACATTATATTTTTTGTCATTTAGATCCTAAAAGATGTGTGTACCACTTGTTTTAAATTTTACTACTAAATAAATGTCTGTAATAAAAGACCACGCCAGTACGATGAAAAAGTAATATTCCTTGAATGTAGCACCACTGAAGCCCATTTATATACACGCAGTAATGGTCAACATTCATCATACTGCTACAGTTCAGACAAATTATTGTACAGCATGTAGGTAAACGTATTAAATTCACTACCCTGTGAGTATATTAAAATGAGAGGGTATTGACGGAGACATTGCATCGCTTTTTCAGCCTGGCTGAAATGAATGTTTGCGTGTCTTTGCTCTCTCACCAGCATTGTTGGGGTAGGTGTCCATGTCCAGGTAGGAGTGCTCCTGGGTCTCATTTGGCCCTCCAACCACGCCTCCGACCTCACCCCTCTCCAGCCCCACCAGGTCAGAGAAATGGGGGTGGTGCTGGCCCTGCTGGCCAAGGGTGGGATAGAGCGAGGACGAGGAGTGGCCCTCTTTCCTCTGCAGCAGCGGGGGTAAGAGTGACGAGCCCCCGGCAGCTGCAAGGTTTCCGACACCGGCGGTTCCAGGAAGCAACCCCGATGTCAGGCTCAGACCTCCGCCCTCCTTGTCCCGCCATGGTAGCCAGCAGAGCTTCCAGGAGACGAAAAGGGAGACGGAGAGGAGGACGATGCCGCAGAATGTCACAATGACCGACAGCAGACTGACAGAGATCTCTGCAGAGGACCACAGGAAGAAGGTAAAGAGACGAGTTAACACTTACAAGTCTCTAGCCAAGATAACACTTCTGAGAGTGCACTTTTTTGTAACCTCTATTTAACCAACAAGTTAAACTCTTGAGATTTTTACACGATTTTCCTGCACTGAGCCTGGCAGGGTTAGCCCTGAATGTTTGTGGGTTTTTTTTAAATCTGAGCTCCGAGAAAAAAAATCTTTGCAAGCACAGCCCACTCCCACACTGCAACACAACAGTGCTAACAATGCTAAAGAAAGCGCTGCCAAGGGCCATAGCTTGGATATTAAAGATGGACATCTGAACCGTGAAGCCAGCTTGGAAGTAACTTAAACCTGCAATAGGCCAACAGGGGGCAAATCCTCTGCTTGCAGAAAAACTATGTGGAAAAAGTCCTTATTATGAAAAGCTCCCTCATTCTCTCCTTTTTTCAGGAGTTTATGGCCTCATTTGCAAACTTCAAGTCTATTTGTATACACCATGACCTTTATTTGGTACAGTATGGTCCCCATTGGAATAAAAAAGACAGCAAAGTAGGGTATGGTGTGATCTCTGTTGGACCTATGTGCAAGCTGCAAACTTCAGTCATACTAATAATGTAACAGTCAAGGTAGAGACAAGCAGCGCATGTGTTTAATAACAAGTTTTTATATTTTAATGAGTTAGGAGGACGGACACTTGTCTGTTTGCTCTATTGATTTGGGGTTAGGTAAGCTTAGTCTGCAGTGCTTTAATTGCTCCTGAAGTCAAAAGCTAAATAAACCCATAAAAGGCTAAAAAATGTTACCTGGTTTCATGTTTCGCCAGGATTTCCCCATAACATTGCAAGTTTCTTAGTAAAATGCAGCATCCGCTTATCATGTCCAGTTTACCAAAAACAAGATTGCGATGGTCAAAATGCTCAGACCAAGGATGGACAACTGAACATCACAGTGGTTGCGCACATTTTTGTATACAGTCTATGTTTAGCAGTGGTTTGAGCATGCTTACGAGATCAATTCTAACATGATTGTGTGTACCAAATGTAATCCAATAGCTGCTGAGGCATTTTTTTAAAAAGCGTCTTCATCAGCATGCATCTGGTATTTTACACGTTAACATGTTATGCATACATATGTCTGAGAAATCAACAATAAACCACTGCATGATGAACAATCCACACGCGCGCACACGCACGCACATCGCTCCCAACATCACCACATTATCTACAAATCACGCATCACGGAGCGGCAGAGGCAGGAAAGGGAACCTGCTGTAGGCGTAAATAGCAATATGCAGCCATCCCCTCAAGCTCACATCCCAAATTTGAATCCTGAGCTTAAAATGAGGGCAAACGCTGGCAGAGTGGATGTTCTTAGAGAAGGAGAGGAGGCGGTGGGGTGGTTGGGTGGGGGTAGCAATTAAAAAAACACCAACACCGACAGTGATGTCTCTATGCAGTGTCATCCTGCATTTCCTCACGGTTATGAGCTTTTTAATGTGTGAGGATTGTAACTGTGGAGTGAGGGTGGGGTTGGGGGTTTTCTGCGTGTGGATATGTGAGGGTGAGGATGTGGGTGTTTGGGATGGTGAAGGGTGGAGTATGACTCATCCGTATGTAGAAAGTGAGCAGAATAAAATAAAAAAATACAAAAAAAGAGCCATTTCAGCACCAGACTGCTGGACAGTTCCAGCAGCAGCAGCCGCTGACAGAGCTCTTGGGCCGGGAAACTTTATAACTTCTGCTGAGGAGTGGGCACATGTGCGCATGCTGGACACTCTGACTTGTAAATTCATTATAAATTAATACATTTGTAAATACCTTATAAATATTATATGAATATTAATTAATAAATAGACCGAATATACAATGAGTATTTATTCTTATCCCGGACCATTTGAAGTCTTTTTATAAATAGCATCTTTTGGTCTGACGACTTTCATGACAAACGGACCAATCAGAATCAAAATGAACTACAGGCCCAGAGCCCTGAACATGAATATTCAATCACTGTAAGCAGACCAAGTAAGACACAGCGTTCAGATTTCCCAGACTGTGTACTCCTCTGCACCTTGCGGCATATAAGTAAATTTTTTTTTACCTTTTGCCCTCTTGAGCTGCATCCAGAACACGAGGTCACCAATTAAGAGTTTTTTCTGTCCGCAGGCGGGCCAGGCACGACCTTTGCATACTATAACTTTGTCTCACCCACAGAAGGAAATGTTTTCCAAACCTCCACAAGTCTCACACAAAGGCCTTAACCTCCCTTTCGTCTTAATTTACTTTGTTTCAGAGTGCCTTTATGGGCATGACAAAGACATAAGCACTTTTAAATCAAACAAAGAAGAATTACATTTTATCTGTAACCGGCTGACAACAAGACTGAGAGCAAATGAATGAAAACAAGACAACAGAAGCCAATCCTTCAGCCCAGGGCTACATCTTCTGGAACTTGGTTCGCCTACTGTCTCCATCCGCCCTCCCTCACGTTCTCTTTCACTCTCTCGTATGTAATCCCCTCAAACACCCCTCTTTCCTCGCTGTCATTTTTTTCCCCATGCTGTCTGCCTCTGCGTGCTCTCTCTCGCTCTCTTTGTTCGTCACCCCAACCTTCTATCTGTCTCCCCCCTGCTTTGCCTCAGCTTCTCTTTGGTGAATTATTCATCAGCCTGTATGTCATTAATCAGCACTTGTTCAAAAGATATGATTGGGGGGCCGTGGAGGTGGAGGATAGGCGAGGGGACATAGATTGGTGGTTGAGAACATGATGAGGTGGGAATTGAGGAGCGACGAATGGGGGGGAAGGAAAAAAGCAAAAGCAAAGCACGAGAGAACATGATGACTGAGATCAGGAGACAGGAAGGAAGAAATGTTGGAGGGGGGGGGGGTGGTAAAGAAATGAGGCAAAAGAGAAATAAAGACAGCCGTGATGAGGGGTGGGAAAAAATGTAGGGCTGCTACAAACATAGAAAGGCTTAAAAACAGATTGGTGCGCATGTTGCAACAGACATATACGATGACTGGGTCAATTCTTCCTTTTTGTTTCTAGAGAGAAGAGGGGGTGGGGGGTTGATAAAGCTGATACAATTACCACACCATGTGTGAAAGGCTCGAAACCACACAGGAAATGATACAAAGAGAGTGTGAGAGAGAAAGAGCAAGGGAAAAGGAGAGATTGGGGAAAACAAGCTGACAGTGATTTAGAGCAAAACCCAAAGAGGGGAGGAGTTTGAGGATGAGAAAGGTTAATGTATTGATCTGGAGAGGGGAAAAAAACAAAGCGAGGAGCTAGAGGAGGAGGTTGTGTGCAGTTGGCAGATCAGGGTGTGCTGATAAGACGTGGCTGTGATCAAATGTGTGCAGGGACTGTCGGGGGCCAAGCCACTCGCCTCCATTTGTCTCTCTTTAGGGCAGTCGCTGTAACTTCCTGAGCGCTGATCCTGCCAAAGATCCATCGCTAATCCACAAAGCATAAAAAGCGAGTCAGCAGGCGGGTAGGTGTGTGGGTAGAAGGCCTCTGTAGTACGCCGTGAAGAGGGACTGAGACTTCCTGTCAGTCAGCGACTGATGCAAGCCCACTGGGAGTCGTACATTGCTCCACATCAAACACATCTCCGCTGCTTACACAAGTCATTCACTGACAGCTTTCAGCGGTCGCGATCCTCCGAGGGACCGCGGACTTCCATCAGCAAACACCGAAAAATCACAGCTGGTAAGCGGTGGGGGCCAGCGCCTAAAACCATGGCATGACATTTCTTCTCAGAGCCATCCAAATCTCCGGAGGCAACACACAGGCAATCCAGGCTAATCTACACTGAGCCACAGATCCATGCTAATCTGCATAACAGCACAGTGCACTTCCAAATGGCTCACTAAGAACCTACACACAATACTCTCATCCACAGTGCAGCAGGGTGTACCTATTCACTCTGGCAAAGGATGTGATGATATAAATATATATATTCTTATAATCCAGCTCTGAGATAACAATCACAGAATTCTACCGAGACTCTTTTGGGGATCATAAAAGAAATGGGATGGACTTGTACCTTAGCCACTTCAGTCGAGAACGTGAATATTTCATGGTCTGTTGTTGTGAGTGCACAGTACCTCTAACCATCCTTAAATGTGAGCACTCTTCTTAACATTTTGCCTCATCATACCTTAAAGTCACTGTGACGAGTCAGTACTAAAAAAGAATCTTTTGCTCTTACCTCTTTCGGGACAAAACCTACAAAAAAAGAGTTCCAGTTTTAGAAGAAGGCCTTTGGTGTAAAACTTCATTTGGTCCATAATGGAATACTTAAACCTTCAATCATGCCTATATTAAAAAGAGCAGTTCCTTAAAGCAATACCCCAAATCTTTTTATAGTATCACCATTCCCTTCGCTGTAGGCTTGAAAGGTGTCTGCTAAGTTCACATTTTCCTCCCTTCAGAGAGAGTCCAGCCACTGTGGTCCTTGTGAAAAGATTAAATTGAAAATCAAAGCTGACTTTAGTTTGTTTTCATGGCGGGTGAGAAAAAAAGCATCAAAACATACAGATCAGCCATGGCAAGTCTCTGGATATTTAGGCATATTTTGCTAAGATTGTGAGTTTTTGAAATCTACGGAGCATATGGACGCGCAGCAGAAGGGTTATTTATTCTGCTGCAGATGTTTGGAAAGTTTTGCTACTTTGTCCACGGTGAAAGCTCATTTTCTTCGCAGTACATTTAAACTGATTCAAATCAGGCTGTTCCTGCTCTGCGTGAAGGAGTAAATTACAAACTGCAGGGTTTGATGAGTCTTTGATACTTCAAGGGTATTTCTTGAATAAGGTGTTGCTTTAATGCTGAGCACAGGCTACCTAATTTCTGGTCGCTATGTCAGATCGGGCCATTATAGAGTAATAAAATCTTCCTCTTTTCTGACTGAAGGACAAGACAGAGCATAGGTGGCTCCCTGATCAATCATTCTGTCATTCACAGTGTGTTTGACGTCATCAGGAAGGAGGCACTAGCTCGCGATTTCACAGCCCCCCTAAGCTACAAAAGCAACATCACTCCTCTTTTGCTCTGTAATGTTTACAGTTGCTGACAGATCTCTCTTTGTGAAATTCGAGAACCTTTGAGGACTCAAAGACATACTAACATGCTAACATCCCTAACCCTAACATAGGGTTCCCAGATTCAACTTTGGTTTTCGGTCAACTGTAGTGCAACAATAAACAATTTCATTTCCAAAGTCAGCTCCTAACCAACGCCTTCCAGGTTTGGCTGTAATCATGCTGGTGTTGTGTAGACTGAACTTGGCATAAAGCAGGAAGCAGTAGGCTTAACTGGCAATTTTTGTAAAACACAAAATTTAAAAAAAAAAGGGGAGAATCTTGAAAAATCAATAAATTGCAGAGAAAGAAAGTTCCTGACTGCTGACTGAGATCTCTGTGCTTATATCGGTCAAGCTTGCAGAATTGAGGGAACCAAGACCTTAAAAGCCTCTGTTTAGTATTAGAGCAGTTCACACTGATCAGAAAAGCAGAAAAGCTCTACATAAATATCAGCCTATTTACTGTTGCAAAAAAAAGAGGGAAAAAAGACTGCATGCACAACATGACAACCACTTTGTTACCAAGTGACACCTTATATCTTCTGGATGATCAGACTCATTTCATGTAGTCTGTTCCTAGAATAAGGCAGATTTCACTGAGGTTTTATAGAAATAATTATAAGTTTAAAACAAAAGAAAAATAGCATTAAAACACCAATGAACTGCCAAACTTGATTCATAAGCATAGATTGTATTTAAACGCCGCTGTGGTGTTATCCACTGGTTAGAGGAGTCACATTCGTGTTAAGGGTTTCCAGTATTGCTCCTGTGTTGCTTTGACAAATAAGGGGTGGATCTGAGTACACAACACACAGCACTGACTGCTCTGGATACTCTGGTTAATCCTTCTCTTATAATTTTAGCAAGTGGAACTTGTGGTTGAGCCCATAAGGTTATCCAAAAAGTGTTCATTGAGGTCACTGATGAAGGGAACTGAGGGCCTTTTTTCTCTCTCTTTTTTCCAGAGCATGTAGGTTTAAGTCATTTCCACGTTGACTTCACTTTGCAAACACGCACGTTACATCCATCTTTTATTGAATCACTGTTTGTAAGAAGCACCAGGTGTGTGTGTTACCTGTATCTAGCGGCCTGTTGCCCCTCCTCAGGAAGATGAACTCCTGGCAGCGTTCGTTCTGGCTGTAACCCCTCGTGTTGAAGCACAGCTCCTCCACCAACACCAGCGCCTTCTTACACAGGTCTTCATCCCAGTCCCCTGACATCCTCCAATCCGCATCGCACTCTCACCAGCAGTCAGCCAATGACAGCGCAGCCCTCGCCGCCCTCACCTATCGGACGGCGCTTGGGTAAGCACAGTTTTGGGCTGTCCACCTTTTACAAGGTGCGAGCTGAGAGCGATTAGGCAGAGGAAGTTGAGGGGACAGCTGTGATAAAGCAAGAACACAAGGGACTCTGCAGGCTGGATCGCAGAGGCCAGACCGATGTGCCCATGAATGAGTGAGCAGCACCCGCCCCTCTCACTTTCCCTGAAAGAGATAAAATGAGAGAAAGTGGCGACCTGAGATGTGAGGACATAAAAGGAGACAAATCAAGTTTCTGGCAGACTGGTCACCTTAGCCATTAAGTGTGAACATGAATGCCAGAACCATCAGCAACTCCCTGATAGATGGCTGGCTGTATAATATTGCTTTAGCATACACTATGAAGACTGATTAGAGAAAACTGAAGAAAGGGTGAGAAAATTTGATCTTGTTGAGGGCAAAACTAAAATTTCTGATGTGTGATTAAGTATTTAGTTGCTGGTCGTGCTGATGAGGACTGTTGATGATTTTTTTTCATCTGATAGACAAAACTTGCACACAAAAACGTAACATTTACATGTGTGGACTTTCTTGAACGCTCCTACAGGCAGGACACATTGCTCAAATTTCATCCTCCCACCTCCTCTATGCACATGGCAGCAGAAGGCTCTTGGGCAAATAAAGACACCACAAGGTTAAATGACATGTTAAATTACATGTTAATGTATATGTAACTATATTAATGAATTAAACTCTTAAGTCAACCCTCAGTTTAACCTTGTGTTTCTATTACACCGGTTTCAAAAAAATTGGGATGGCATGTAAAATGTAAATAAAAGCATTATGATGCAATTATTGTCAACGTCAAACCAAAAGGATGCTGCTGGAGGAACATTTAGCAACTAATTAGGTTAATTAGCAACAGGTCAGAAACATGACTGGGCATAAAAAGAGCATCTAAGAGAGCTAGAGTGTCTCAAAAGTAAAGATGGACAGAAGCTCACCAGTTTGTAAAAAACCTGGATCTACAATTGTGGAACAACCTCAGAATGTAAGATTGTGAAGACTTTGACAATGCCATCACCTACAGTATACAATATCATCAAAAGATTCAGTGTGCAAAGGGATGCCCGTGACCTTCGGAGCCTCAAGTGGCACTGCATTCAAAACAGGTATGATCCTGTCGTGGAAATCCCTGTCTGCTAACGCAAGTTACTGAGTGATTCACAACTGGAGGTTAAAGCTCCATCATGTACTGAAGATCACCCCCGTCTTCACTGGAAGCTTATTTGAGATGGACTGAGGAAACTGGAAAACTCTTCTGTGGTCAGACAAATCAAAATTTGCAATTCTTAGTTGAAAACACGGACATCGCGGCTTCCAGACAGAAGGGCAGAGGGACCATGTGGCTTGTTTTCGGTGCTCAATTCAAAAACCTGCATCTCTGATGTATGATGGTGCATTAATGCCTATGGAACTGGCAACCTGCACATCTGAAAAGACACAGTGTTATTAATGTTAACAAGGGAGTTCTTCATCCCCACTGTCGTCAAGTGTGTGCTCTTTCACGTTTTAACATAAAACACCTTGAGATGACTATAGCAAAATTAAAACTAATCAATTTACAGTAAGTTTAAGCCTCGTTAACGTGACTGTTGTTGTGATCTGGTGCAATATAAATAAAATAAAAACTGATTAAGATTAGACAGTGGATGGATGGCTGTGCATTTACACACCACTTGGTGAAATGAAGAAATTAAATTATGAGCAACAATATACAGCTAAAACTGTGTATTTTATAGAGAACTAAATAGAGCGAGTTTTATTTCCTATCCCTTAAACAGGAGCCTTTGAATAATGCCGGATCCTTCACTCAATATGGTGCGCCCTTAATTGCACAGGGCCTTGCTGTCAATTATCTCCTGGGGATACCGTGATTAGTTTGTTGTCTAAAACTGACCAGTGGGTCAGTCATTTTGGAAACGTATGTCATGTTTCAAACTAAAACACTTTTTACTGTAATTACAGAGTAATTTAGATAATTGTGAGCTCTCTTCCAGTGAGTCTCTAAAAGATAAATATACTGAAACCACAAACACTTTAAGAGAGTGCGCCTGGTTTCTGGCTTTTTTTTTTCTTTCATAGATTAAAAATTGTGTACCAAAAGTCAAACTGAAAGAAAAATCTAAATTAAAGATATTACTTATGTGTTTTACCTTTATTGAACTCAGCTCTTCAGGTTGTGGGCCATGTTGCAAGCCCGTGTGGAGACACTACGTGTGAAATTTTCTTTGCAAACAGATTTGGCTGAGGAGCGTGGAGTTATGCCTGCAGTGCATGCATAACCTTTATCTTGTTATTTTCCTAATGTTTCCAAGATCAGAAATGGGAGCCTGTTGTGCTGAGCTCTTAGTCATCTAGCTCCAGCAGGAATTGGTGGAATGCATCGGGATCCTTGGCCTTGCCAGCACATCAGCGTGGATTGGTTGTCACTGTCAGTCGTGGAGATTTTTTTCAACAGAACCTGGAAGAACATTAGGAATCAATCAATCAGTAAGGTGAATGAAGACAACAGGGGACTCAAAAATCACACAAACATCAGATTGAGATATAATTAGATGCATTAAGTCTGACTCCCTTAAGTGTTTGCTCATGAGCCTTTCATTCAAAGGAAACAGGCCTTCTTTAGCATGCTGCCTTTAATTCCGATCTCATTCTGTCAAAATAAAAACAGGTCAGTGCCCAAACTCCAGTTTCTCACAGTGTGCGAGTCTCCAGGGACTCTGACCAAAGAACGTGTGCAAACTTGTGTCTGATATTACAGATTTGCTCCAAAAACCACCAGTATTGAACATGTCCTGGCCAAAAACCTTATCTTGTACAAGTGGTGTGGTCGGAAAATAAATCACTGGCAAAACAATGTTCGTGGTGAGAGGTCAGCTCACTTTTCCACTGAGCTGTTTTGTCCTTGCAAAGCAGCGGCCCTATTTCTCAAGCAAGGTACCTCGTCAGACAGGGGAAGGACTATTGATCATTTGATGTATGTTGTTCTGTGAAATGTCAGCGTCAGTCTTTGTGCACTGAGTGGCACCTCCCTAGCAAAGTGCTCCTTATGTGTCCATCTGTCTCCCAGCCTTCCATCAATCACTGCATTAGGCAAAGACATATTTCACTCCGAACAAGATCAGAAACAAGAAATGCTTCCAAACCCTTTCAAGTTTTCTGTCCCTCTGCTTGAAGACAGAAACACACTTCCCCTGTCTTGTTTGCTCTCAGTCACATAATGAAAGTCGGTCAGTCTATACACTAAAAAAAATTAATCTTAGGAAAAGAAGAGGAACAGGGTTAAATTAGTATCATGAACTATAACATTGTAACTGTATCTTGACTAAACCCCAACATCTTATTTTGTTAATTTTTTCCTCTTAAAGAAAACCGGTCATGGTTTTCTTCACTATTACTTGAGGCGCTCAGTTTCTGACTCTTCTCTTCTTCTTCTTTTTTTAGGCGTCACCACAATGAATCATCTGCTTCCATCTCACCCTAATCCTGCCATCCTCCTTTGTCACATCAACCCTCTGCATTTCCTTCTTCATCACATCCACAAGCCTCTTCCTCTTTTTCGCCTGCCTGGCATCCCTCTATTCAGCATCCTTTGTCCACTATCTCTTCTGTGCACATGTCCAAACCATCTCAGCCTTCCCTCTCTAACTTTGTCTCCAAAGCGCTCGACATAATCTTTCCCTCTGACATAGTCATTTCTAATCCTGTCCTTTCTGGTCACTTCCAGTGAAATCTTAGCATGTTCAACTCTGCAACCTACATCTCTGCCTCCTGTCTTTTTGTCTCACTAACATCTTGTAAACCTTCCCTTTCACTCTTGCTGCTATACTTCTGTCACAAATCACCCCCCTGATACTCGTCTTCACCCACTCCACCCTGCCAGCGCTCTCTTCTTTGCCTCTTCTGTGTATAAACTAAATGAGAGTGGATATTTTCAATATGGCCATCGTAGGCACATGGCCTTTGCTATTGGGAGAGAAGCCCCCAAATCACCCACTTTTCAAATCTTCTGTTTGCGAGAGACAGCCACTCAGGAGTAAGATGGCTTATAAGAAAGTTGCCTTTATGGGGGAGGAGCTTGAGGAGTGAGTCATGCAAAGCTACTCTAGTACAGCCAAAATACAGTTGTGGAGTTAGAAATGAGCAAATAGGTGCCCTGTCAGTACAATCACAAAGCTAGAGGAGATGCAGATATTTTACCCCATCTGGAATCTTTCTTTCAACAGCAAAAAAGCATCGTAGCTTTTTGAGAAGCTGTGTCGGGCAGTTTGTAGCAGGAAAAATGATGCACATTAGTTACACTTTTATGCATTATAAAAGGAAATCATAGCACTCAAAGAATCCCAAGCAGAAATCTAAAGTAGAAATCAGTAAAGGAAAAGATGCTGCTGCCCCCTCAGAACCAGTCAACAGCTAAACTGGGGGAAAAAATGAACCAGCTGTGTCGTTGTTGTGACATATTTGCACTGTAGAGGTTCACGACTATCTCAGATTTGTGTTATCGGATTATCTAATCATTATATCAGTATGTGGTTAATTAGTAAATGTGTAGGAAAGTGTAATTTCTGTTTGTTTTTTTTGCTAACTACATCCAAAATGTGAATTAGCATTAGAATTTATTTAGCGTACCCAAAGAATGAACACTGATGCTGTTGACTTTAGTACTCTGGATTGAGCCCTTAATAAATTAGACCTTTGAGCCTTTGCATGTAATTTGTATATTCCAGTTAAAGTTAGTTAGGCCCTCATCCTGACTAACCCTGCCTTTACTACCCATTCCCCTCTTAGTCCTGTCACTTTGATGTCTGCGATGAGGTCCCGACACCAGGTCTTTTGTGGCGGTGCGCTTTTTCATTTTCATTTTGTGTTCCAGGTCCATTATTGATGTTGGTTGCTGGCTTTTTAAGGATCTCTTCTTGCTTGGGACGTTGCTCTGTCTGCCTTGTTTTGCCATCAGACGGAGAGGATTTGTCGCAGGGACTGGCTCAGAAAGTTTGGACTTTGACCATGGCAGTTTTTATAGTTCTCCATGTCTCTGCTGCGAGCTGAACAAACATAGCTTAGTGTATTGGATGATCTCCCTGGAGCTCAAGGCTTTTCTCATCTGGGTAAACCCAGTATTACAGCAAAATGTGTAATAGCTACGCCGGTCCAATGTGTCTATTTCACGCTTTGATTCTAAAAAGCGTGAAAAAGATTTGCATGCAGAAGTTGCAGGAAGTTGCAGTAACAGCAAAGGGAGATATTTCGCTATGTCCTCGTGCTGGTAATAAAACTTTTGTATACATGTCCACTTCATGTTTTGGAGAGGCAAAGCATGAAATACACACAGCGGACTTGTGTGTCTATTACAAGTTTTGGTGTGATATCGGGTTGTCTGGTTAAATGTTCCCCAGGCCTTGCTGATATCCCAATAACCATCAACATTAATATCGAGCCTCTCTCGAGGCATTGCCAGAATGGCTGCCGAGTGGCAAGATGTGCTTCTAGAAGGACTTTATACTAAGCTCAGTAGACATCTGGATACATTATACCAACACCTGCTTTTTTTCTATAGTCTGCAGTTTCCTGTTAATATTGTAGCCTCTCTGGGGGGCATTTGGGAATTTGCAGTGGCAAAGATTGTGGATGGATGTGGATATTTACAGTTCACTTGCCCAGGTTGAGTTATATTTACTTTCATGTTAGATTAGAGAGACTGTGACACCTTGAGTGCAGTGGGTTGCTGGATTGATCTCAATCCCAGTGTCAGCATGGACTCGTGTGATCAAAGGGATGGTGCTCTTATCATTAAAAGAGCTGGGAAGTAATGCCATGCCATGATCTCTGTCAACAGTGACTCACTGCTCTTCAAAAGTCAAAAAGTAATGAGAAGTTATCCCATTTGAATTTCACTAATTATCTTCATTAATTTGAAAAGATAATTAGATGCATGTTACTGCCAAAAACCGTGTTACTACCAGCATCGAATTTCACTTGTTTTAATTAAAAATAGACAATTGAAACTTTTAAAGTTAAGTAGATATCGCTTTTAAAAAATGACCAGATGAATATGAAAATTTGATTTTACTTGCAAATATGTTTTTTTCCATGCAAGAAAGCTGATTGTGCACGCACTGTTTTGTTAGATTTATGCTGATAATGCAAGCAAGATTGTTTTATCAGTGCAGGAAACTCAGTTAATGCAGAGTCCATTTATCTTTACATCTCACCGCAACCTATTACAGAAATTAATCCAAAATTGGCAAATCAAAAAGCAACACAAGCCCTCCTCCAACAACCCCACCCTTACTCTTGCCCATTAAGATAGCAAATCTGTCTGAGTGACTTAAAACCTGGGATATCTCAATCTGAGAAATGGCTGTCTGGCACAAAACTGTACGCCTCAAATGCCAGTGAAAGCATCAAGAGGGAGAGGCAAAAAAGAAATGGAGGAGACAGACAGAAAGAACGATTGTATAGCAAGAGACAGTGGAATAGGGAGACGGCGAGAGAGGGATAAGAGAGATGCTGACATTAAATTGGAGGCGAGACAGATAAAGAGGGAGGGGAAAAATTGGAGCAGAGAAGGGCAGGGAAAAAAAACAGGAAGCTGGCGGCGAGGGTGACACAGCAACAATGGTAATCAAGGTTTTGGGCGATGCAATTTACTACAAGCAAAATATTTACAGAAGATGGGTATTCGCCGATGAATATGCCTTTAGAAACATGGTGATGGAGCATTCAACTGAGATAGCAGCATGCCCAGAAATGCGCCTTCCTACTTTACTGTACAGAGCAACACTAAGCCTCCCACAGACGCTCCATTGACTGCTGTTCTGCCTGGGATCAATACACACAGGGAACGAATACGCCACAACACAGACCAGTCGACCAGTAAGGTCACTGTCCGACTGGGCAGAGGAGACAGGACGCAGCGCAAGGTCACAGCCTAATCACTCCACGGAGAAAAAAAAACAATCAGTCTTGCCCAATCACGTTAACGGGAAGGAGATGGGAGCTGGATGAGATGAAGCAAGCCAATCAGATCATGAGCTAAATCTGTCCAGGAAAAAAGGGCCAGTCGCACCAGACACCCGTTAGTAGCTTTAATGGATGTAAACCCAAATTCAGGGCTGTATCAGTACGAAAGAGACTGCAAGTTCAAAGCTACACAGGTGTCCTTCACCAAGATGCCAAACCCCTGGCTGCCCCCTCCCGTTAATCACTTAGGATAAGAGCATCAGCTAAATTACTCATTTTTAAAGGCTCATTGCAGCCTTTACATCCTCATTCCGACTTACAGGTGATAAAGCAGATGAGGCATTTATATTTGCATCCCCTTTTAATGAAGAGATTTCTTACATTTGCACAGTAAGGACAGATTTGGGGGCTCCTCTCAGGTGCATAAAATATCCAAACTATAAAGAGAAACCACATCCAAAGTCTGAGTAAAAACACCAAAAAAACAAACCAACCCAGCACTACTCCCATTTCATATGGCTGGGGCATAGTGTAATAAATATTTATCTAATATTGAATGCACTCTCTCTATATTTTTCTCTTTTTCTTTTTTTTTGGGGGGGGGGGTATTGGATTTCTTATTTTTTAGCGCAGCACCTCCCTCACACAAGAATTACAATGGTTTTTCTCCCTCGCTCAGAAATTCCACCGACAGCTGCTACAAACAAAACAGAAATCCTTGAGTGTGGCGAATGTGAATTTGATAAAAACCCAGGGGGCAGGTTTTTCAGTAACAAGGATCATGTTGGAGAGCAGGAGTGAACGCTGAAATCTGTATGTGGAATCTGCCTCTGAAGGAAGAATCACACACCTCAGCTGGGTTTGGGAATTACAGTGATAAGACAGTTGAGTCGCTGCTGTCTGCTGAATAAGAAGCAGAAGACATTCAGATGCTTACCACAAACCTGTGATCTTTTGCAACCCAATATGGTCATTTAGCATAATAATATATTTGTCTGTGTGCTGAATGAAATACATCACATGTGGGTCTTCTACAATTTTAGTTTTTCCAGTTCAAAGGCACCTGGATCGATATCATCAGCAGTGGAAACAGCAGTTGTAGTATTACCTTGAGTTTTTGGGGTTTTTTTTTCTGGAATTTAATTTCTCAGTTCACCCCACAGTCTGAGGCGGTGTAAGATCATAAAACCCTCTTTTCCTCCTATTCAGCTTCTTTCTCTCTTAAGGTTGGTCTAAACAGAATTACTGTTTATTGCTAAAATGTCAAACTATTTTCATGGAGGTAAAACTGAACACCTTCATAATTGCAAAACTGAGACCAGTCAGAGCCTTTTTATGTCAGAACATAATGCTTCTGTAGACAAAGGAGACTAATCCATTGGTTATACCTAATAGGATGTTTCAGGCGGATCTCATTGAACGTGCTTTCAAGTCTTTCTATCTGCTGCCACGCGCCTTCTTTTGTTTTCATCTGTACCTGGAAGTCATCTCTAATTGAACCTCTCGTTTTTGCCTGAAAGGTTTTGTTTATGTTTTTGTTTTGAAAGTCTGCTAATTCAGTTAAGTGTTTAAGTGAATTTCACACTTCTGGTGTTTTGGCAGTTTTCACATTAACTTTTTTTTCTCTCATCTCAAGTCAGCTGTACTCCATAGACTGGCATCTTGGCCCCGTGACCCTATCCTCTCTATTCTGGACTTTGATGCTATCAGCTGCGCTCTACCCTGCTGGGCTGTATCATGTTTTATACCACCTCAAATCGATGTACTCTTGTATCCTCAGATCATTCCCTATTCGTCAGGAGTATGCCTGATGTACTGAGGTCATGACCTCTCTCCACCAGTGCCGGCATATCCTCCTTTCTGTTTTGCATCACTTCCTTTTGAGGCCACAGCGATGTCTGCCTGAGACAATGCTATCATCGCTCCTCTTTGCTCACTCGGCTGTGACGGATTGATGCACAAGGGTAAACAGATAGGGCTACTACAACACATCTTTTTGGTTACTCCAGTGGAGCGGTTTCACGGGGACAGACTTGGCGGTGTATGAGGCCGAGATTGAGCATGGGGATATTAATGTCTATTGACTAGAGGTAATAGCTTTGCTCAGCCTCAGCCTCGAGGTTGTTCCAATTTAGCCAGTCCTATAATAGCTCCTGGACACCCTCTCAGCAAATAAATAACATGAGGTGGGTGAGTGTTAATATCAGCTAAAGACCATATATCTCTATAAACATTCAACCAAACACCCCTTCGCTTTCAAAAAGGCAGTGTCTCCTTTCATCCCCACTTATTTCTATCCTCCATTCACACATATCAGGGTTTCTGTTGAGGTTTTCACAGCTTTCTGCCACTCTGGGCCTGTTGGAGCTGCAAGTGTTTAAATTATCTATAACATGGGACAGGAAATAGAGAGCAAGTGGCCAGCCAGGAACCGTGGGATACTGGTACTGTTCTTCCTGTCTCTTGCACAGCCCGTGGAGCTGCAGAGCGGGACCTATTTACAGACAGGGAGTGTAATCACACACACACACACACACACGCACAGACAACGGGCCGCCTTCACTTCATTTTTCACCTAGCACCATGTAAGAGTCGGTGAGTCAGTGTGTCTCAGCGGCTGTTTTTTTCTCTCCTTTTTTTGACCATTTGCATAAATATGGTTCTCTGTGGTGGGAAGGAAACTGTGTCTTTGATGGTGAGGGGGAGTGGGGTAGGCTGGTTGGGGTGTGGGTGTGGGTGGAAGGGGGATTACGCACGTCTTACGCACGTCAACCTGTCTTGTGTGTTTTCTGCGTGCTCGCGCGCGCACCCCTCTGTCTGTTCGCCTCATACCTCATGTCGTTCTCGTGGAAAAAAAAAAGTTTAATCACTGTCGTCTGTGAGGATAGCTGCCATTAATACACTTGTGACACTGGTATCTGTCATATGGGCTAGACCAGCCTCCGTTACCTTATAGACTGCCTCCACACAGCATGCATCCCACTATAGGCTCGAATATGCAATGGCAGAATGCAATACAGAAGAGCCAGAGTGATGCACAAATAATCTACATTAAATATTCATGGAAAACAGACACATGCTGCGAGATTTAGGGCACATTCAGCAGAGCACGGTGCGGGATGCAGGATCAAAGGAGATATGACGCGAATAAAGCATACATCGCGGATATCACAGACCCGCATGCATGCTGCTTGAAAGGGGGCAACAAAAGGGAAGGTCTCCCTACCTTGGTGTTGCAGAAAGCAGTGTCCTCCTATCTGACCAATTTCCGAATTACGAGATTCTCCGCTGTTCTAGTCAGATGCGACGCCTGTAAAGGGGCATTCCGCCCTCTTTCGCTCTGTCCACCCCTCCTCTCTCTCGCTCTCTCTCTCACTCTCTTTTCCTCTCCAAGACGGCACCGAGCAGTAAGCCGCGCAACCGGGATGGCAGACTAAGAGAGAGAAATGAACAATATGATATATCTCCCCTCCCCTCTTTTCCCTCCCGTTTCCCGTGTTCTTCTCTTATATTTTTCCCCCTCCTTGTGTTTTTTCCTCCTCTCTATTTCACTATCCCCTCCCTCTCACTCTCTCTCTCTTTCTCTCTGCTGCTTGCTCACTCCCTCTCCTTTTTTCCCTCACTGTGCTCTGAATACTAATACTCTGTCTCTTCTCTCTCTCTGCCTGTACAGCCCAGCCAGTGCTAAAGACATACTGATGTATGTGGGGCGTGTAGAGGAAAAGAGAGAGAGAAGTGGCCTGTGGGTACCGGAGTGTGTGTGTGTGTTGGTGGGAAGCAAGGATGGAGGGGGTCTATAAATGGTGTGGAGGGTACTGGCCTCTCTGAGCCTGCAGGGTACATGGAAGCACCCAGGATCTTGTTTGGACTTATTAGAGCTATGATTAGATAATGATACTCCCGCAGATGCCCCTGGAGAGGTGATGTAGTGCTGGTGGTGAGTGGGTTGGGGGCCACATAAAATGTTGCCGTTTTTTTATGGCAACATCAGTGGGATGAGAGGAAGAAACGGTGGGAGTAGAGGTGGGGATAGGGTAGTGTGAAGAGGAGGTGCTGCTAGGATGTCAGGTGGTGGAGAGCAGAGATGGGATAGAGGGTCAATGTTGTTCGGCTCTGAGCCAAAAAAAGGGACCTGGCTGGTGTGTGTGTGTTATGTGTGTGCAGCATGAGAAGAGCAGTTGAAGTATACAGAGGACATGATCTAGTTAGAACGAGACATAGGCTTATTGGAGTCATGATTAGATTATGATATTCCTGCAGGCCTCGTATATGCACATAAAAATATTTCTCTGTTTTATGATAACATCACGAGCAGGATAATGAGGACTCACCACGGTCAGCCGGGAACAGGTTTAGGCATTGTACGAGAGGGGTTGGTGTCTCCCAGGGTGCCTTCAGGGGCCCTTGACATATTCCCAGAGTGGTCGACCCAACAAAATGAGAAAAGCTGTAATTCAGTTATAATTGAATTTGCACATCAAGCAGCGAGAGGACGTAATAGGGAAGTAGTTTTGATATCCAGATGTCACATTCTGTATCATATCGCTTCCATCAACAAAAATCAAATCTATCTGAAAAACAATAATTGGAAAGTAGTGTGTAAACCCCTAGATTAGGGTTTCTTCTCTTCTTCCTGTTGAGATGGTGCTAACTTTAACAGTTACGTAAGGCAAGTCAACCCTCTGCCCCTCAAGATGTTCACAGCATATGGGCCTGCTGCCGTGTTAAATGAACACGGCGAACAGCGCGCACTTTTGTACTTGTTCTCCATGTGTGTTTTTCAGACCATATCGCCAGTCATTACTGTCTCCGCACTGTGCATGGTATCTGTTGGTTTTTTCTGTATTCTTCCAGTCACTGCGGATGTTTCTCATTAAAATCTTGCCTATAGTTTAACTTCACAGCATAATTAGTAACCGCTAATATTTATAGTTAGCAGGAAGCCTGCGCATTAATCTTTTTCAGTCCAAAAAGAAAGGCCTCCTACTGTGAGTTCTGTTGTCGGGACAGAAGCAAGCATCTTCATATTTAAAGACGGCACACTGATGAATTAATCATTCTCCCAGAGTGTGCCCAAACAACACCTAATGGGCCACACAGCACAAGCGAACATCTAGGCCTTGTTAGAAACTTGGGTATGGAAATTCTACATGCATTTGGCTCAAAAACTATTCTAAATGCAAGCTCTTAAAAAAATAAAAATAGCACAGATCAAACTGTTATTTATTCATAAAAATGCTAATCACGGACTTCAGATGGGTCTAAGAGGGAGATAGAAGGGGAAGGGGTGGCGGTGATGGTGGGGGTGTTATTTGAATTAGGCTGGTTTAAGTGAATCCAAATTTGATCTTGGGCTTTTTATTATGCTAATGGGGAGCAAAGATCAAGACATAGATTTGGAAAAAAACATTTGGAATCCACATCTATAAAAAAAATCACATTAATTCAGGACTAATGCTCCTGCAGAACGTTTAGTGATCACAATGGCAAAACAATAAAATCCCATAACTCAACATGATCTTACAACTTATCCAAACGGACAAAGTGATATTATTTCACAGACCACATTTATTCCCAGCACAATTTTTAATAACTTGTCACGCTGACAAAAATAATAAAACCCTGACAGCATTTATGTATTCCGAGAAGATTAAGCAGGAATGTTCTCAGAGTTAGGCGGGAAATAATATTAAAAAGAGTATTTGCCACACATAGTTTAACAAATTAACACCTTATAATTATATTACACTGTGTTCATCATCCTTCTGGAAGCAGTGATGAAAAAAGACGGACAGATGATGGAAAAATAGCTGTGTTTGGAACCCTGCAGCGGGCGATGATTGACTGATAAATGAGAGTAAACAGTGACCTCTGTTAACTGTCAAAGCAGAGCACAGAGAGAGGCTGAGACGCACAACAGAAGAGGACAGGAACACATAGAGGGGGAAACAGGACAAAAACAGAGGAGAGGCGAGAGAGAGTGAAAGTTAAACAACAAATGGATTGAGAGCTCAGCTGGAGGCAGCTGCCACTGTCAGACCAGAAATCTTGTTCCCCCTAAAACGAGTGCTGGCATTATAATATCGCTCTTATGTGGAACAAATTATCCACTCCTCCATGTGCACACAAAACACTCTAAGGCACTCGATTCACACATGCACACTCCAAGGCACTTAGCGTGCATGTATGTAATAGCACGTGCACACGTACTAAAGAAAGTAGACCGAGAAAAGGCTGGAGGGGAGAAGAGCCATGAAGAGATTAAGAGTGACTAAGACCGTTGGTGTCAACTCAATGGTGCGAAATGTGTCTGAGTCCAAATTCAAATATGTTTTAAGACTAACATAAATAACAAAGCTGCAAAAAGTGTTAGAGTTTGATTTCCAAACCTAAAAGAAAATAAGGGTAAATGGATTGTTGAGGAATAGTGTAGCCGAATAGTTTATGACGCTGGCTATGTACAAAATACTTCTCAAGTCTTTAGTCTGCAGAAATTTTGTTGATACAAGCAGGTTTGGCAGTTTCCTGTGATAAATGATATTAGATGTTTTGCTGTATCTTAACTGGTAGTGAGGGATGTTACAGTCTATGGAGCTCATGCCGTTATTAATTAAGGATCTCACGCAGCTCCTGAAGTGCAATCGTGGGATTGCAGGTTCAACTTTTAGGGCTTAGGGTTTAGTATACAAGAGTATACTAAACTTCTCACTTGTCTTAGAAATATAAACAACAGTAATCAACAGCACTGAATTGCCTTCTTGTGCTTCTTCCTCAGACTAGGGAATGCCCATTTCAGACATAAATCTTGTAGCTTCAGCAACAGTAACACTAAGCGCCTTTGGTTTCAGATTTCATCCTGAAGACAGTGTTTCACTCTGTGCTTGGTGGCATTTTAGGACCAATAAATAAAAGGCGAGTCTGTAAACGTAAGCTTTCTTCATTCTGGACAAAAAAGCCCAACATCTGATGTTTGTTTTCGCCATGAAAGAGTACAGATTACATCGATTCCGGGAAAACTGTCTCCGGGGTATTTAGGGTGTTTATCGGGTCCTTTTCCAGTCATTAGTGATGAAAACATGAGATCAAGGTGTGCATGCTAATTTTTTCCCCCTTCAGATTTTTTGCCACTGTTGGTAACTTCTGCTGTGATGAGTAAAAAGAGCCCTGTTTGAAAGATTTATTAACCTTGTAAGGCTTGTATTCCTAATTCCTTACAATAACCCTAAGCAATTAAAAAAAACAATAAAGGGCAGGGTAAAATAATTTGCTTGGAATATGGGTTATGAATCTGATTAAATAGGACTTAATTTTTAAAAAAAAAAAAAATTAATATTTTTATTTAATATGATGTAATTTGTGGGTGAGGTTAGTTTGTAGCTTTGCTTTTAGATTAGTAATCTTCTTTTTACTAATAGAAGACTTTGCCTTACAAGAAATTTCTAATTCCCAAAGCGGAATACTCGCAAGTAGTTTCTGCTATGAATCATCACTTGGAGTTGTCTCTAACTTTCGAGAGGTGTAGTTTGCAGAGACTAAAATTGGTATCTTTCAGTTGTCAAAATAAAGTGAGTCAAACTATGGGCTGACATTTCTCTGGGCTCAGTTACAAAGAAAATCTATGATTTAGCTACATGGACTACAAGTAAATCTGATAAATAAAGATACTCTTCAGCTTTTCAAATAAAGTGGGTTTTTTTGCTGATAAAGACTGAGACTTGATGACATAACTCCCCAAATCTAAGGTTCCTTAAATCACCTCAAACTCACGTGCATCACGTGTGTTGAGTAACTTCAACAAAAGACTTTAATTTATTACCTCTGTTACCTCACTTGTGTAAATCAGTGGAGAAAGGCTCTGTCCTCTCAGGATTTGTGGTCACACCCTTCCTTCTGCTCTTCTCCTTCTAGTCTTCTCTGTATCTGCTTTTTCACTCCTTCACTCCCAGTTGTGCCGTTAGAGGGCAAAAAACTCTCGCTGACATGAATAGTCAGCAGATTCTGTGCAGAGATCCATGATTACCCATTGGGATAACTGTAGCCAAGATTAATTCTGGCCTTGAAAAGCCAAGAGATTTTTATAATCTGAGCACTGACTGATGTGACTCATTCGGAGCGGTTAACACTCCGACACAAACCTCAGGGTCTATCCAATTTAGAAACCCATTGGCTTTTCTTCTGATTTGTCTCTGGAAGTAATGGCCAGTTGAAGCCACAATATCTAGATAGTGGATAATGGTATTCAAGACTTCCTAACAGTGCACTTTCAAAAGCTCGTCAGATGATGGCCGATGGTTTTCAGACTGCTCAAAGGTGATTGGTCAGTATTTCTTGTAGATTAAAACAGGAAATCAGAAAAATCTGATTTCTGATTTTTCCACTAGAATGTGCAAATTTATATGGAGGAGTATGTTTATAGGGATTAGCCTCCCCTTCTATACCTTGACACATACTAGAAGCCTCCTGTTGAAGAATTTGGCAAGTGAGCCAATAAATCCTCTTTTCTGACTTTAATCTCTTGGATTTTTATCACCATTTGTCATCTT